ACAAACCAAGTACATCATAAACCGAATCAACCGTGTAGTTATACATTGTTATATTTTAAAAACTATATTAAAATTGTACATTCGATTGGGCTTCAACTGGATAGTCAACTTTGATTCGTACTAGAACTTGATAGTTTTTAATTCAAAAGTATCACTTAACTATCACATTTTCATGTTTGCATGAGTATTTATATGCTTACCATGAGCGTCATTGCCATTATCATCGATATTATTAACGAAATCAGTTAAAGATTTATATTTATTCTGCTTATACTTTCTCCGCTCTCGTATTAGCTGCGGAAACAAATTATTGTGTCAATAGTAATTAAACTTTTGACGTTTTTACTGCGTACCTTATCTCCAAAATCGTGAAGTATTTTAAGACAGGCTTCTTGCTTTTTTCCAACATCCATGAACTTGAGCATCCACTCGCTTATGTATGGCCTGCATGATCTTTAAAAATAATTTTAATTCCGACTGATTACAGTTTTATTTAAGATTATAATTGACACCATTGAAAGTTTACCTGAACAGAGTTATATACAAAAAGTCTGATGCAGCGTGTTCGTAATCTTTTATTTCTTTATCTAATTTACCTCGTAATTTACTACTTAAATCAAGTCCCATGGCTGATCCTGCCATTTTTGACAAGAAAAAGAGTTTTTTTTTCGCACAAGACATTGACTTTTTTGTTAGCAAAAAGTAATGAAAATTTACCTAATAATATACGTAACGTAAGCTTCGATGCCAAAGGCAACAACTCTTGCACAGTCTCATCTCCTTCAGACAGTAATTCATGAATAAACATTTCTCCTTGTTCTTGCACAACCTCAAAATATTTCTTAACTACGTTCGGACTAAAAGCTGGAGTAAGAATTTTTCTTCTATTTTTCCACTTTTCTCCTGTAAAAAATGGTTTTATCGAGAAATTACGGAAAACTTCCTCTTGGTAAGTTAATAAATATATTTTTTACTAAAAACACAAATTACCTGAACTCGTGATAAGCCCGTGGTGAGCCCATTTTTCAAGATATTTGTATGGTATTCCACCTTTGGATGTGTTGACTCTATCCGTGAAGAATATCTATACCATAAAAATACTATGTATATATAACCCTTTCATTCGATTGCAAATTCTTTTAAGTAGAACTCTAAAATAAATAAAAAATTTTTTTATTACAAACCTCTAAATCGTCCGGATTACGACATAGGACTACGGCATAATTTAAAATCGATACTTTTGCGATAGGGTAGTACTCGTCCGTAATTTTCCTCATTAAATTCCACAAGTAAACTGTAAAAGTAAGGAGGTAGCACATCATTTAGTATTACACTATGATGAAATTAAGAAAAATACAGTGTTTTTGCACTTTAGAATCAATTAACTACAAAATATCAATAATATCTCTAAACAAACCTGTATCAATATTGAAATACGAAAGTGCGTTTCCGATGATGGGCAGCCCAGGTGGACCCGGTATTTTATTCAACAGCCGTCCTTTTCTACTATATCTTGTTGACACGTGAATAGCAAATAAAACAAAAAAAAATATAAATAAATACATCGTTGCCATCGTGCACTTTGTCAACTCGATTGCACACAGTGTAATGAAACATTCGACATAACAGCGTTCGAGAGAGTAAAACTACAAAGTTGCAGTCCTGGCTTTTATACCACCAGAAGAAATTTACTTTTTTTCAGATTTTTTTTCCTCGTCAAGATTCGAGGTTATATTTTTCTAACTTCTCTATTAAGTACTATTTTTTTAATGTCCCCATTCATGACGTTTAAATTACCCATTGTTTCTGTTTAGTCTCAAAAAAAAACTACTATTAATGGGTAAGGAGAGAAAATCGAAACATTTATGTGGTGGCAATTACCAGCAGCTCGATTTTTTGCTGATAGTTTTTTACGTAAATTGCAATTCTTAAATTGAATTATGAAATCTCATTAATGTAGGAACCTATTTATACCGATTATGTTGTTTTTAATGCCCATCGATCCTTAACACTGTTTAAGTCAGTTTAAGTACGGTTTTTTTTATATTACTACTACATATACTGTGTTCTAGTTATAGAAAATAATTTTCTATGCACATTAAAATAAATTTGCTGCAACATTAAAAAAATGTTCGGATTGTTTTTCTCTGAAGAGATGTAGTGAAATTGTATGAATATTCAACCATTTTTAACAAAATTATCGATGAATTATGTGGTTGTATACAAACATAATCGTAATTTTTATATTACAAATGGATGTATTTAGCTGGTACGAAAAATAAATCAGTATTTAATGAAATGGTATTAATGTTCATTGAAAAGTTTTTTTGGCCAAGTCATACTTGTAATTTGATATACAATGTTTATGGCTGTCTTTAGAATTACATCATGTATGTACTTGAAAAATATGTTGGCACGCAAAACATAGTCACTTATTTCGAACGTGTCGATAGCTAGACAAACAAGTAGTCAACTTAAATTTTAGTTTATAAAATATAGCCAACTTCACATTATAACAAAGAAGCAGATGATTAGGAAAAAATATATTCCTCAAGTTTATTAGTGTAGCGCCAGCTATTTTATTTATGACAGAACAAATTTACAGGTAAATAAAACCGGTTTGTCGTGAATATTTTCAATTAAAACTTTAATGACGATTGTCAATGTCTTAACAATCTGTAAAACATTATATGGTGTTTGGGCTACACGACACGTTGTCTCAATTTATTTACTACTTGATGCATACCACATGAAATATTATCATACAGGATCATACAAATAAATAATTACACTAGTATCGTGGTCTGGGAACCAATCAACAAGAAGTTTTGTTACTTAAAAAATAATTCAACATTTTTTCAACTTAACAAATTTTGCATAAACTGGCACTGTAGGCAAGAGAACAACATTCAGTTCAAATTGTAAATCTCTAGTACTTTGTACAGGTTTCACAACAAAGTAATACAAAATGCGTGCTACTATCGCTTTCAACTGCATCATAGCAAATTTTAGTCCTAAAAAAATTACACGATTGATAAAATTTTTAAATTAGATTGTATTCGCTACGTGCAAATCTCCTGTTCATGTTAAATATTTGTAATGAACGAACAAGTTGTACACTTAGCATCGTGTTTTACGAAATAATTTACATAACTGTCGACAACTCGTGCATTTGAGAAGAGTTTATAATGTCAACAGTCATGTATAATTTTTATCACAAAAGAAACTGTCAGTTATTATTAAAAAACATGGTTAAATTGGATGTTTGTGACGTAAATTGTATTTTCACCAAGTTTTGGTTAGTCACCGTTTGTGTTATTTTAGATGCTACATCCAATAGAGAGATTTGCACGAAGCCATTGGTAACAAGTGATTTTTGTTGTTGTTACCTATGCAATTCCGGGGTCCAGCACTAAAAGGGACGTAAGCGTACGGATGCCGGTTTTTCGAGTTTTCCGGTAAAAATCTGTCGGGATCAAACTTTTTTGGATCCGGCCAATGATTTCCGTCATTGTGAACGTCGTATATCGGCACTCCAAGTTGTGCTCCTTCTGGAATTTGTATGTTTTCTGAAAATCAACATGAATAATCGTTTGGAATGATTCATAATTACTTTAAATATAATAGTCCATGATACCATTAATACAAAACTTACTTAATTGCATTTCCTTACTAATAGTGCGAAAAATCAATGGAACGGGTGGGTGGATTCGTAAGCTTTCTTTGACACATCGTTCGATGTAATGAAGATTCTGCAAGTCATTCACAGTCATACTGCCTTGACATTCATCCATAATATTGAATGCCTCGGCTCTTGCTTTCTCCTGCAATAACAGAAACATTAATTTATACCGCTACTTGTCCAGTAGCTATAGTTGTTGAGAAAAAAAAATGTAAAAGCACTTGGATTTCTTGACTGAAGCAAAACTGTAACTACACATGTGTCATCTGTTTTGGTATACAAAAAATGTTAATCCTTACAAGGGTACAAACCAAGTACATCATAAACCGAATCAACCGTGTAGTTATACATTGTTATATTTTAAAAACTATATTAAAATTGTACATTCGATTGGGCTTCAACTGGATAGTCAACTTTGATTCGTACTAGAACTTGATAGTTTTTAATTCAAAAGTATCACTTAACTATCACATTTTCATGTTTGCATGAGTATTTATATGCTTACCATGAGCGTCATTGCCATTATCATCGATATTATTAACGAAATCAGTTAAAGATTTATATTTATTCTGCTTATACTTTCTCCGCTCTCGTATTAGCTGCGGAAACAAATTATTGTGTCAATAGTAATTAAACTTTTGACGTTTTTACTGCGTACCTTATCTCCAAAATCGTGAAGTATTTTAAGACAGGCTTCTTGCTTTTTTCCAACATTCATAAACTTGATCATCCAATCCATTATGTAGGGTCTGCATGATCTTTGAAAATTATAAAAATACTCACTTGTGAGAATTAATTTGAAATACGAATATTTGTATTAGGAATTAATTCAAGATTATATATTTTGCATTTACCTGTACACAGCTATGGTTAAAAAGTCTAATAAAGCATTTTTATATTCCAATTCATTTTCCAACTTACTCAGATCAACTCCCATTGCCGACCCTGCAATTTACGAGAAGTTGAAAAATATTCTGCACAAGACGATGATTTTTTTTGTTAGCAAAAAGTTATAAAAATTTACCCAATGTTATACGTAACGTAAGCTTCGATGCCAAAGGCAACAACTCTTGCACAGTCTCATCTCCTTCAGACAGTAATTCATGAATAAACATTTCTCCTTGTTCTTGCACAACCTCAAAATATTTCTTAACTACGTTCGGACTAAAAGCTGGAGTGAGAATTTTTCTTCTATTTTTCCACTTTTCTCCTGTAAAAAATGGTTTTATCGAGAAATTACGGAAAACTTTCTCTTGGTAAGTTATTAAATATATTTTTTACTAAAAACATAAATTACCTGAACTCGTGATAAGCCCGTGGTGAGCCCATTTTTCAAGATATTTGTATGGTATTCCACCTTTGGATGTGTTGACTCTATCCGTGAAGAATATCTATACCATAAAAATACTATGTATATATAACCCTTTCATTCGATTGCAAATTCTTTTAAGTAGAACTCTAAAATAAATAAAAAATTTTTTTATTACAAACCTCTAAATCGTCCGGATTACGACATAGGACTACGGCATAATTTAAAATCGATACTTTTGCGATAGGGTAGTACTCGTCCGTAATTTTCCTCATTAAATTCCACAAGTAAACTGTAAAAGTAAGGAGGTAGCACATCATTTAGTATTACACTATGATGAAATTAAGAAAAATACAGTGTTTTTGCACTTTAGAATCAATTAACTACAAAATATCAATAATATCTCTAAACAAACCTGTATCAATATTGAAATACGAAAGTGCGTTTCCGATGATGGGCAGCCCAGGTGGACCTGGTATTTTATTCAACAGCCGTCCTTTTCTACTATATCTTGTTGACACGTGAATAGAAAATAAAACAAAAAAAAATATAAACAAATACATCGTTGCCATCGTGCACTTTGTCAACTTGATTGCACACAGTGTAATGAAACTTTCGGTCGAACAGCACTCAAGAGAGTAAAACTACAAAAGTCATAGTCTGAATTTTTAATGCCGATAATGATTGACCTTATCATCTTGTTCTCAATGTGCCATAGAAGCCTTCACCCGAAGAGAGAGAGAGAGAGGGAGAGCAAGGCAGCACCACATCTCAGGGCCCACAAATACGCGGCTTCAAGCTGCGCAATGGAGCATTTGAAGCTCTCCTGCAACAAAAAAAGAAAAGGGGGATAGAAACGTTTTGCTATAGTCAAGCTTGTCCGATTACTTTTACGTGTATGCTGTTTGTGTCGTATACACGAGATACTTGTTATGTATACATTGTTTACATGCTGTCTTGACGCAAAGTCGAGCTTAATGCTTCATTTGAGCTGGACAATTAAACAGGTTTTATTAAATAACCGCAACACTTTTCGAGGTAAAAATGTTCTCTCTTACATGTGTGTATATTTTTGTATAAAGATATTTGCACGATAAATGTAGATTAAAAAATTACAGACGGAGAGTAATCATTTTTCTCTTGAACCCGTGATTAATTCCAATAAAAAATGTTTGGTGTGAAAATAAAATGTGGCATCGAGAAAAGCACCCAACACACCTCGAAACAAACCCGAGCGCAGCTATATTATCGTTCCCAATCCTATATAAATGAAACCGCGCGTTACAGTACCACGAATTGTGTATAGCCTTGCACAAATATGCGTAATCTGAGTGAAAAAAACTCCCTCGTGAGAGTCAGACACCCGTGAGGGTTCTCTCCCCTTTTCTGGCGTCTCCGTAAAACGCACCCGCCCTCCTCATTAACCATCCGTGAACGTTCGCTCATAAGAAAAATGAGCGAAAGTCCCGAGAGCTTTTTTTCTTTTTTCTTTTTTTTTAATGACGAGAGAAGAGGGTGGCTGAACGCTCTAGCTGTTGAACGAAAGAAAAAAAAAAAAAGAAATTTTGTCTTGCACGTGCGGAGGAAAAAAAAAAAGGGTGAACGCAAGGGAGAGGGGGAGAAAAGTGCGATGCATATGCGCGCAAGGGAATCTAAATGACGCGAGCGCGGATCGTACACACATGTATGAGCTTGTTGGTGGAGGGAGTTACGGAAATTTTAATTGCGTAGAAAGGTCGTTGCCGATTTGCCCTGGGGATTGCTATTTTACGTTTCAAATGAATTTTTTTTTTTTCCAAAAAGGAGTTTTTTTCGACGCCCACATTTTATTTTTCGTTATCTTGTTTTCCATGTGAAAAACTTGAAATTATAACATTGTGATTTTAGAAAAAAGTCTTGTTTTGTCTAGCTTACAAAAGGTTTAAAATATCATGCTCAAAAGCAATAGCAGGCAACTTGGCGCAAAACAAACTCACCGTATGGTCACCGATGGTTGACTTTTTTTTATTTCCAATTTTTTTTCTCTGCGATCATCGAATAGAACAGGTGGCAGAAAAAAAAGGAGTCAGCCACCATACACGTAGCCCATACGAAATACGACTCGTAAATACCTATATACGCAGGAATTACGCTTGCCACCCGCGTACATCTGGGCCGGGGACATGTGTATAATGTAATATATATGTATGTATAAAGTATTTTTTTATGCGCCTTGCGTACACTCGCGCCAACCGGAAAGAGGGAACAGACGCACACCTGCATCGAACGACTCTCTTGTGTACCTGCCCACCTACCTACATCGTGCACCATACGTATAGACCTATCATACATATGGGCGCTGGCCGCTTATTTTTTCTTTTTTATTATTCTTTCTCCCTCTGTTTCTGGTATCCCCCCTGTTTTTTTTTCTTCTTTTTGTATGGCATACGGCTTGCTTTTAATTGGCTTCGAATGCCTGCCGGACGGATAACCTAACGCGTGTGTGATAGGGACACTGTACTCCATGTATGAGTGGAATTTTTTTTCGTTTGGAGGATATATTTTGACGCTTTTTTGTTGAAAAGGGTCATACTCTGTTTAGAAAAATGATTTTATTTGGTGATCGAATCCTTAAATCATGAAGGTCCAAATATTTACTTGTAATCATTTTTTATCACATGACATCGATGCTGGGATTTTTCAGATAAGACAATTATTTGCATCAAAAAGTCTGTATAGAAAAATTATTTGAGATGGTCACAAAGTACCAGCAGTGGACCAAGTAGCTCCTTATTTTTTGCTCCCTCGGAACTGAAGTACTAAAAGTCTCGTTACATTAAGATTAATGGCGCGTAAGGCTGGCTCTCTCAATATAGAGGAGATGCCACTCCGACCCTTCTGAGCTATGTTCATGCAGCTGGAGGCAATCTAAATAATGTTACCTTATGAACCGACACAAGAAAAGTCCCAAAAAAAAGGACTTTTTTTTGTCTTCAACTTTTAAAATGTACAAAAAAAAATCACTCCATCGTCAAAAATTTCCTCTGGATACCCGAAAAAACTACACCTTCCGCTCGCAAGAAATTTAATTGCATCACTCCCCCTGAGTATCTCCGTTTAGCTTTCCATTTGCACATTTGCGAGCGGAATGACAACAAACTACACTCGCCAAAGAGAGAGAGGCTAGAAAAATGTTTCTTCCTTTATTTTGTGTTTTTATTACCCACGTAACCGCAAGCTCGGCTGTAACAACACTCTCGAGCACCTACATAATTCCGAGTCTGTTGTTCGAAGAAAGAATTTCAAGAGCGCCATCGCTTTTTGCGCTTCTAAAAAAAAAAAAAAAAAAAAAAAAAAAAAAAACACTGCCGAGAATAATACGCTGGCCAAGATTTTCCGTAAACAGAGCCGAGAGGATGAAACTTTCCACTTACTTTTTTTTTCTCCAATATCTCACGGTGGAGTTAACTGCACGCGAGTTGACAACAACGAAAAAAAAAAAGGGGGAGGCAAACACGTATATAGTTTTCCTGCGTAGAAGCATCGGGGGGTGGTGCCGCTGTTTGAAAGCAAAAATAATCATCTCCGTAGTCCCGGGAGGATTTGAGGAAACGGCGTCACTAGAAAAGAATGGGGTACACACTATACGGCGACGGTAATGTAAATACTTATCAGCTTTTATGTCCACGACGGGGAGAGCGGCGACTTGGCGGCGCTCGGTCGCTTTATAGAGTCCGCGGGGGGGGAGGTGAAATCTTGATACCACCCCCTTCTTTCCAACGCCACTGTTATTTCCTTCATCCTTCGCGTATCCCATATCCTCTTATTGTTATTTTTATTTTTTTGTTATTCACTTGGCGCTTTTTACTTTCATCCCGATTATTATTCATTTATTCTTAGCAAAATTCTATTCTTCATGTTGATTGACAATCTTTTTTTTTATATTCGTAAAAACTATGTCAAAGACCATTCACTGTGTGATTTTGGAAGTTCATCTGCATACCGATTCGTATCGACCATGAACTTGAATCTACATTTAATGCATATATCTGTACTATGAATGAAAACATTAAAAAAAAAAAAAAAAAAAAAAAAAATCAATTATAAACTAAACATGGTATTTCCCTCTTGTTTCACGTTACAGACGTCGCGGGACGAGCGAACGAGCGCAACGAGCCCGGCCACCAACTCGCAGGCGAGCGGCACGCCGACCCCGGTTCCGTCGCCCGTGGGCGAGGCACCCCTGGGTCGTGCCCTGATGGAAGCCGCGATCCAGCACGCAAGCATGACGTCCCAGGCGCCACCGATGGTTGTCACGCCAGCCGGTTACTGGCTCGACGGCACGGATCACAGGCACAACCTCGACTCGGCCGGAAGGGCCCTACTACCGGCCCAGCCTGCCTGGCAGCCCAGGATCGACCAGGACGACACCGCCAAGTGCTACAGGCGCTTTTTCGTCGGCAGGGTAGGCCCACATGTTTTGCTTCCTTTATTTTCTTGCCTTGAACAATCACATGCCAATATTTCCACTGCGCGGCTGTTTGTCAGCCTAGGAAACAAAAAGTGATAATAATAATCACACTCCGCGATGTCTTTTACGTCGTGGTCTCGTGTACCGTACGTACATAATAATATACTGCGACAGGCAGTTTTGAAGAAAAATAACCAACCGTCAAACTTGTTTTCTTTGTACTTTATAAACGCTGAATTTTTCAAAATGCGTGGTATATATTATTATTCAAGAAACGTTGCTTGGACCCCACAGCCGATCAAATAAAGTCCGTTGTATTCCATTCACTTCCAAAGCGAGGAATCCTCCGAAACAATAAAAAAGAAACACTTTCAGCCAAAGCGTCACAACGATCTCTCGCCGATTCTTTAATTACCCCCATGAACCGAGAAAGCGAAACAACGGAAGAGAGCACGATTCTTCTTCATTTTTTTTTTTTTTTTTTTTTTTTTTCCCACCGCATTTTTACAGCGAAGCCAATTAGCCGGCTTGCTCTTGATGCGCATATCCATCTCTCTGCGCGTGTAAATACGTATAGCGCCAACAGGTGCGTTGCTCTCTGACACCATCACCACCACGCACCGGTGGGGGAAAAGAGAGTTGGGAATGCAACGGCAAGAAGAAGAGGAAGGGGGGAGGGGACTGCAGGAGGAAAAAAAAAGGATACGGGGAGCGTTTCCCGAGGAAGATACGCGCCTGGATTTAACGACTTCCGCATCCTCGCCGAGGGAATCCAGACGCGCTTTCCTCCTCCTCTCTGCACACGTGTATATATATGTATGATACAGATACGCTCGGACGGTGGGGTGCAAGGAGGGTATACGTCATACACCCATACCGAGAGAAAGAGAGATGGAAGATATTACCCGTAGCGCACGATGATGCGGTTGGGTTTAACGCGCGCGACGAAAAGATTGGCAAAGTGCCGGGCTTTTATTCCATTCGGAGGACCGGCGGGGCAGAGGGAAGCGCAGGGTGAAATTTTTTTGAAAGAGGACGAGGGACGGCGATGATTCGCGTTGGGGGATCACGAGAAGCGTGCAATATATATATATGTATTACAGCAGGCCGGGCGTTTGATTTGATTAGCCGAGGGGTGTTTTTAGGATTGGATTGTTCACTCGGGGGAGACTGGTTAGCGTGACTTTTCGCCACTTTTGGGACGACGCAACTTCACTACTACCACGACGAGGCTGATCTTTTAGGTGGTCCTCGATTTTGTAACGTCCTGGCCCTCGGCGTGGTGTTTGTTGTGGCGTGATATTCATGGTTGAACATTTACAGCTTTATTTGTGTTTGTGTTTCGGAATAAAATGCACCAACAAAGGTCATTTTTCTCAAAATCCTTGCTCCACTTGGTAATCATTACAATAGGGATGGTAAACGTCACGCACGACTCTAGATCTACCCACAATTAATTATTTCCATGAATAATGTATAATCTTTGAATTTTCCTACCTTCAACTTCATCCATACGATGTTTGTAACGGCCATATAATTCGGGTCGTTTTTAACGTCATTCAGGCCTTCAAAAAAACGGGAAACTGAAAAGGTATGATGTGTCGGATGGAGGAGTATTCTTCTTAAGGTTTCAGTGTTTGTGTCTTAGGTGATGGTAAAACATGATTGCCGCGTAGCAGATGGTGCAAAGTATCAAAAAAAAATCACGATGTTTCCTCCTCCTAACACATGTGTACAATAACTTTGGAAGGCCTCGTTCCGAGTTATCTCAATCCGTACAGTAAAGAGGGGCCAACAAACGCGAAAATGAGAGGCTCGCAAGTCTCTGTGGTTAGTTGTTGGATGGGTACAAACTGGAGAGGAAAATTAAAACGAAAGCGCATACGGTACAAACAGAGAGAGAGAGAGATCCGAGCGGAAAAACGAAAGAACGCGAGAAGAGGAGGAAGTCGGAAAAGCATTGGTATGGATGGATAGATGTGGAGCACGAGCGAGTGAGTCGTGCGGGGGTGGTAGGAGTGCACGGCGTACCTATATATATATANATGTATGTGTGTGTGTGTGTGTGTGTGTGTGTGTGTGTGTGTGTGTGTGTGTGTGTGGGTTCTTTACTGAACCTTTTTAAATTAGGCGATACTTCTGCGGTTAATATTATTCAATAATTATTATATGTGTGTGTGTGTGTGTGTGTGTGTGTGTGTGTGTGTGTGTGTGTGTGTGTGTGTGTGTGTGTGTGTGTATACACGTACGTTCATGCGCCATGGGCGTGGGAGTGGGAACTTTCTCACACTATGAATTCACAATGCTCGCGAGGAAACGCCCCCTCCGTGCATCTCCTATTGATGCATACATATGTATGTATACACGCTCTCCTTTTTTTTACCCCTTCGAGTACTACCTATCTCTGGTATTTTTATCCTCCTTCTTCGCTCGAAATTGCGTTACAGTTATACTTGTAATACCATTGAATTTTCAATGGAGGAGCAGCGCCGGTAAACAAAATCGAGTTTCGCGCAAATTTTGCCCCCGTTTATATGTAATATTTGAGGAGCCGATCGCGGGTAGATTGCACGTATATATATACACTCGTTGAAACCAAGTCGAGTATTCACCGATTCATCTCGAGGCGAGTGAGGGTTGGATGAATTTTACAAACTTCCGTACGGGGGGAAGAAAGATCCCCATTTGACACTTTTTTCTTTTCACTCGGGGAAAAAAAAGTAAGAGAGGGTATGGAAAAAGTCGCTCGAGAGCCAGCATGAATTTTCCAATTTCTCGTCTCTATACTTACTATCCTCCTCCGTTGCACTTCCACGCGCATACATAATGCATAAACGCGCGGACCATTCACACACACACATGCACGTGGATGCAGGCTCTGGTTTGCTCCTGAGTATATATATATATATACGCGAATGTGTTATTTATCCACGGAATTTCGAAAGGATTCCCAAAGTTTGGTTGGGTTTCAATAGCAGAAACTCGACGAAATCAAGGGGATTGAAGCTTGCCTGAACTACTTCGAATTTTCATCAATCAAGTATATTTTCACACGGCAAAAGCGCATACTTTGCACGGAAAAAAAAAAAAAACGATAAAAGGCCGCATGAATAAAACAATATGCTGTTTGCAGTTGAGTGTAACTTACAAGCACGCCATATAATATGCACTATGGACTTGTTGGTTTGATTTTCTCGTTCCTATATATACGCCAAACTTTCGGAAAATAACAATTTAGATATAGAGACTCGTCAAGTTTTACGATCGCCGACTTACCCGCGCGTATATAGTGTACATGCACACTGCACTCGAACGAAATGAGGTGAAAAAAAAGTCTCGTGTGTACTCACCGTTTCTACATTGAATGGGAAAAAAAGGTCCGCGACTAAATCTTGATTTCCAATGAGATTTGCTCTCTCTCTCTCTCTCGTATAGGACTGCACGGGACGATGTGTATACTAGCCGGTCGTGAGGAACGGGTAGGTATATATGTTACGGCATCGATCGCCGGGGAAACGTATAGAATGGTCGGACGTGTACCGCGCGGGGCTACTCCGTTGCTAACCGAGACTCGCTCTCGTTAGTTCAGGCAACAAGGCGTTGAATTTATTTTTCATTCGTTGAAACAATTGTAGTCTTAAAATGACGTGTATAGCAACGAGAGCACGTGGCGGAAAACCGCTTCAACAAATCAAGCCCGAAAAATATAATCAGGTTCAAATATTGATCATCAATTTTGCATATTGCTGGCTCTGTTTCGTGGACTACGCATATAGACAGGGAGAATACGCGTGTACAGAGAAATAAAAAAACAAAACCTACGGGGCAACATCAGCATCCAAGTGCAGTTGCATGCCTATATTTATTTCTCTTAATGACGATGCCATGGGTACAAAAACTATGACTGCCCCACCCCAGGCAGTGAGCTTTTAATTATTGTTGATTAAGCGCGCCGCAAACTCTCGCGCGGGAGAGTTGCAAGTCGGAACATCGTACATATATATATATGCGTCCAAACGATAATTATTTTTCTTTTATCCCGCGTCCTCCACTCTGGATGTGTAATATACACCTCGTCGAGTGTGTGTTTATTTTTCCCGCTGCAGGTCCTGCGGTCGTTGAATCGATGAAGCCATTCATCCCCGTGGTGATTCGTTAATTACAGGTTTTTACGTTAATAAGGTTTTTTTTTTCATTTCTAGATGTATAGTCGCTTGTTAAGTTTAAATGTGGAACTGATTGAGCCAACTTGCAATGGATTCACGGTGCACCACTGATTTGATGGTATTTTTGTGTAATTTCGATTCGTTGGGAATAAATACTCGCTGTAAGGATCGGTATACTTTTAGATGTAAATTTGTGCTTAGAATATCCTTTGTTGTTGTACCACCGCTGCTAAGATCACGCCCAACGAAGGGCTCATGGCCACCTTTGTCATGCTCGCGTCGATAACGTACCTATCATGCGCCCAACAATCGAAAAATTACAATCACGATACCAGCAAATTTTGTGCTTTGTGAAACGCAAAGACGAATACACTGTACACGTTATAGGTAGCAGAGAGGACACTGTGGTAAACTTGAAAATTTACGTCGTCGGAAGTTGCTGATCGCGTTACTTGGGCAAAGGCAAACTTTGCTTGCGGTTCGATGTCGTCAAAAGCCCGAGCGGTACCTGTGTTATAGAATCACAGCTTGCACGGGCGTTTGTGTGTGCTTACATTTGCAAAGTTTGTTACTCCACTTTACGGCTTGTAATTAGAGCTGCGTGCAATATTTAATACGTACGATAAACGTCGTTTACACGAAATAATGTTGCTCAAATGACAACTCTGAGAACTCGATGGTGAAAAGCTCGTCTTGGATGTATATCCATAGGCCTATGGAGATTACCGTTCATGCCCCATTGCCACCATGAGTGGCTAAACAAAAGACCCTCAACATGATTAATTTATTCATTGAAAGGATCTAGTCGTTCGTACAGTATAGCTACAAGGGCATCCATGAATATCCGACGCTCTTAGCACCGCCATTTCTCCTTCCCTCGTCTGCATATCCACATGTTAGGGGCACGACCGGCACGCGATATCGGTGTTTTAATGGCTCCTTCGTTGCAAACGTGTCACGAAAACACGCCGCTGCTCGACTTTGTCCCCCAAAGTTGTCTACGCATGAGCTCACTTCTGTGAATTGTCACATACTCGTCAGCTTGATTTTTTTTTGCCTTTGTGAAGATTTAATAACTTCCTATACTTGCCCAAAGCGATGCTGGGACTCGGTCCAAATGTAAAAATGCTTTCGAGCTTTCTCTCGTGGAAAAAAGATCTGTAAAAAGGACTTTTTCTCAATACATGGACAGTAAATACATCCGTGCACTTGCAAGCGAGAGATTTTTCTCTCTTTCTCCTGATGTTATCGATAATACAGCTTCTAGTGCTTGCAAATATATGGAATTCAATTTTTTAGAAAAAATCGTCCGAAAGGAATTTAGAGAATTGCATGCCGAATAACGTACGACCCTATGCTTGCGATAACTAACCGCGGATGCGTGTATAATGTACACAGTATAATCTAAAATTAACGAGTAAGTCTCGAACGGTGCACATTTATAATATACAGTGGAAACGCATCAACGCCGTACAAATATTTGTAATATCCCGCAAGAGATGACGTTTAAATTATTCATCGCGGCGAAAATGAAGGATACAATATGAGCATAGGTGCGTTGCGACGAATAGTTCGTTTATCCCGTATAAATGCACGGCATGAACGTATATCTCATAAAAAAAAANAAAAAAAAAAAAAAAAAAAAAAAAAAAAAAAAAACAGATAAAATTACAAAGCTTCGTTATTACAACTAAAAGTGAAGATTTTTAAGGGTGCAAAGACAATTCGCAACGTCATTAAAATGAAAATTACCATCGTTATAATGAAAATATTGTGCGCACTAACGCACATAGTAACGAGCAGGACACTATGGCAAAAAGACTCGAAAGAGAGTACTTTTCCTTGTTCTCCGTAAATTACGAAAACCTACGAAAAACAAAGAGATAAAAGAAGAAGACATACACGTAGCATACGAAATAGAGGATGAGTCATGCTCAAGAGGGGAACGAGCCTACGCGAATTTTTTCGAACGTCACTGGCTTCCTCCTTTTTTTTCACTATTGTAATGTACTTGGTATACGCGTGAACGTCGCGACCCCCCTCACCTATTGTGCGACACGTGATATCTCCGTACACACCCGCGACTATGAGTATATGTATGTACATATAAACGTGCACGTTGGTGCTGCAGGGGAAGATAAAAGAAAGGGAAAAACAACGAGTCCTCGCCAGCAGCCATATAAGTATTTTTTTTTTTTTTTTTTTTTTCACCACTTGTTACGTGCAGTATGTACACCTGAATTGTTTTATATGCTTACCGAGTATTATACCAAAGGTGTATTTTTAAAAACATTTTTCATCAAAACCATCTTCATTCGCGATACATCGAATCAGCATTAAATAGCCCCCTCCCCTTCGAATGGAGACGCCCTTACGTAACGCGATACCGCATCTAGCTCCGTACATGCAGTGTACTTATTCGTTGCATGTACACACGGCGACGGCTATGATGGAGCATCGCAATCTCCAATTCAGTCCTAAATCGATCGCAAACCCATTTTCTCGGTAGACGCTTAGATAACCCGATCCCTACGTTAATCCGTCCTCGTATGGCACAGCCACTCTCATCTTCCCTGCAGTCTCGCCCGCTATGATTTATCCGTTGCTCCGTGTAACGCGAGTTTAAAAAAAAAAAAAAAAAAAAAGGATAAACTTTAATTGATCCGATATGGAAAAAGTATGCAGACATGGCAAAGTCGATCGGTAAGATATTGTGTCGCCGCGAATAAATAACCGCTTATTTTAACAGGTAAGATTACGTGAACAAATACGAGTGTGTCCATATATGCAACGTAATCCGGGAGATGGAGACAAAGTATGTAGGTATATATAGGTTGAGTCACGCGAGACATTTTCGTTTTCCATATAATGGCAGCTCCATGCCTTTGCAAACGAATGCCGCCGATTGTTACGCGCTCTCGAGTGATTGCCCGGATCGTTAGGTAGGAATTCGAACGCGTTTGTACGTTGCAACGATCTATTTGCATCTAAATATGTCCGCGTCGGCAAAACAATGCGAGTTACATTGATGCTAATGGGTATTATGATTCACCAAATTGTCGAACCGCATAATTTCTCGACAATTTGGTTATCAGCGCGATTCGGCTCTCATTATTTTGTACACGATTTCGGATGATTTACGAGGAGATACAGCGATTTTGATGTGGGAAACACATAGGGTATATAGAGTTGTTGAGTACTTGTATGGTTCCTTAATGTAAAACAGTGCAAAATTCTTCCGATTTTTTTTTGTGAAAAAATTTTATTTATATAACTGAATACTTGTGGAATGAAACAGTGCAATATGGCTATTCCCTCATTATAAAACAGTAACCCGATTTTCACTTATCCAGTAAAGCAACCCACCCACTTTCGATTGATGGTTTTTCATTGATTTTTATTTTTGTTTTGTTTGATTCGCCGTAATTCACAAAACGCATCTAAGATATTATACAGAAATCGTGAAAAAAGGTTAATTGTAAAATAAAAATATCGTAACTTGATAGATATTAGTAGGTATTAGTAGGTAAGCTCAGAAATATTTACTGCATCGAAAAACGTTTTTGATATGTACAACGTTTGTAAGAAGCTCAAACTAGACATGTGTTAAGATCAAAGCGTACAATAAATCTACTAAAAAAATACCTCACTTCTCAATGCTCAATTTATGTATTTATTTGTATGTCGTTTTGTCACGCCAACAGGAACACCTAAACCTCGTGGGACGCGACTCGGACAACGGGCCGGTGCTGGTGTCGATAAAGGCCGAAACGGTAGCCGGCCAGGAGCACTGGCGCGTCCTGCTACGTCTGAGGGCCGGCTCGATGCACGACCTCATCTCGGCGACCGTCCTCGGACCCAACCCTTCCCCCGTCAAAATGGTCAAGGTAAGCACCGACTTTCATACCCCAATCTATCCCCTTTCCCCCCCCCTCCCATGTTTCTCTCGCACCCTCTGAACCTTTCTGCCACACGTATCCAATACCCATCCGGATCAGACTGAAAGATCTTATTTCGTGCATCCCCCTGTACCGTAAAAAGATGAAACGAAGCAACCACGTTGCACCAACACCACGGGGTGATCCGTAAACGGAAAATAGAAGGACGATAAAGTAGCAGCAGCCCTGTAGATGGTCTAATCGCGCGCTGATTAAATAATCCCCTTCCGGCTCCACTTTCACCGCGATAAAAGAAAGAGGACGAGTCGTCTACGAGAAATGACTCGGAGCGGGGGATGGGAAATAAACGGACTTTGGTTCTTCCTTATCGGAGTCTCCATCGATTTGTTCCGTTAAACTCTCCCGTCCGTCCACTTCTGGCCGCTCACGAATATGGATGTGTTTGCACACGCGTTTTGTACAGAAGGAAATTCTCTCCCTCTCCGGAGTCGAATGAAATTGGCGCTGGGGAAATCGAATGGCAGAGAGAGGCTGCGCCGACCAACGTCGCGATAAGGAATCGTCCTTGTTTTTCTCTTCGTTGGCTACTTGTCTCGCACCGATTGGACGATTCGTTTTACTTGCGAGTCTGCAAGGTGGTCCGGTGGTAATTGCAAGTCTACGGCAGTAAAGTAGTAAATACCAGATTCACCGCTTTCGTGTGTATTTGATTGCTTTGGTTCTTTTGGTTGGCCTTCGCTCGATGTAATCTTGTATCGGATGTGTATCGCGGTTAGTTGGATGGAGTTATTTTTATACAATAAAAAAAGAGAAAAAAAACGATCCCCACACGATATTAATAAAGAGAAAAAAAACGTGTTTGCTCGATTCCGGCTGTAGCGATCGCATTTTTCCCCAAGCTTTCGATGAACGGAAGTGTAGCCCACTTATTTCTCGTATCGCTTTCCGTGCGTGATGTGAATTTTCCCGTCTTCCTTTTGGCCGGTTACAGAAAGTGGCTCTTGGTTTCTAATTTTCACCTAATTGACCTACAAATCGATCCTTGATCACTTGCACGATTGGGAAATTAATTTTACAATTTCCAAGGTTGGGAACTACAGGTGATGCCAAAGTCGATCGATGTCAACGTGAAATCCAATAAACCTCTTTTGCGCGCGTTGATGTAAGTATTTTTTATTTCCGTTCCTCTTTACTTACCCGATCGCCCGAGCAATCTTCCGGGACCAATTTACTGGTATTTTCGCACGTACAATTTACAAGTGCTCCACATTTCTCTGTTATTCCCCTCGATTTTCTGTATATTGTATACACTATTTCCATCACAGTTGCTTTTGTTTCATTAGCGTCACCTTATTTTCTCCTTCGCGTCTACACTAAACGCCATCCCATCAGCGTTCAAAAATCGCATATTTAAGAACAATCTTTTAATAAATACATGCTTTGCTGTATTTTTACTGTGGTTTACACGCAGTAAAAAATTACTTCCGAGAGACATCTAAATACATAAATTTCGCTTTGTTTTGTAAATTGATGAATTGCTGGTTCTCAGTAAATTTACAAAAATGAATAAAAAAGGCTTTGCACCATACGTACAATTATTTTGCTTCACCTGCATAGTGTTACCGAGCAGCGAAAACTTTTAATTTACTCTTACGATGTTTGTTTCTACTTTTTTAAAATTACTTCTCATTAAGGTGGTTCCCCGCGTCTACAACTTTAATGTTTCGAAACTCGTATATTTTCATCTCAAGAGTAGTCGGAACACACTTTGAGTTATTTTTTTGTATGATCAAACAACGAAAATTGAGTATAGTATCATGCAAAACCGTACATATTTATAAAATAAAACCGTGGACGACAACTGTATATTCATCCCAAAGGTGTGCCTCTGAAAAAAAATGTCTCCATCGTGGGACGCTATAGTGACTGCAATTTTGACGGAACTCCTCTCGTATGTTCGAACGAGCGACTGTATATTATACATATTATGTCAAATGGAATTTGCCAATCACATCGCGTGAACGAAGCCATTGTTCGCTCCCTGCATGGGCAACGTAACATTCTTATTGTACGCCTATATAAACCCTCTCTTGCCCCTGAAACATATACCTTTATCGCCCATTGTAACAGGTGGCAATAAATTAAAAGTGCATTTTAAATAAGTCCTCAATAATAAATATAAATATCTAGGTCCATGTGGTTAAAATGTCACCCATAATAGAGGCACAGTGAGCTGAAGAAAAAAATACGCAATTGGCTCTCTAGAAAGCTTCAGAGCAAACCTGTATCCGTACACCCGCGTACAGTTGTAGCTTTTCAAGGAAGATGTACTTGAGATATACCGCGTACACATGATACAACGCAGGGGATGAAAATTACATAATTTTTTGTTTTATAATCCCGTATCAAGCTAGAGCGTCACAATGAACCTTCTATTGTGATCCCACTGTGATCTCGAGAATTTATTTATTTCTCTGGCGTATAGGGATGGAAGTATTTGTACCGCATATGGTCATCGTACATGTATATACCGTCTAATTCACAATCGAGACGCGTGTACAAAAGACAATCGACAGTAATGAAACAACAGGATCTTCCACATCTCCAAAGTCGACGACCCCGTAGTACAATCATTCCATCGAAGAGAAAAAAAAAAAAAAAAATCGGTTTACCTCCAGACTTGACCCCTTGCACGCACATGGGGTAGAAAAACCAATTAGACCTCGCGTTGTGCGCGTTATCCCCCTGTGTATGTTAGTTCTCGGGGAGAATTAGCCGACACTTTTCTCTCGTCCCCCTTCCCACCCCGAAAAAGCGGGGGAAACCCATGAGAGATCTTTGGCCTGACGTTGGAGGTGAAATTGTTTTTTTTTTTTCTCTCTCTCCAACAACATACTTGTACAGCAGCTGGAGCATATAGAGCACACCGCTGAATAATTCATGTCGCGTGGTGCCGGTGCATGGAATAGTTGTGTACGTGCATAGTGTCGAGCCTGCAAACGAAGAGAAAGAATTCCGATGGAGGCCAACGAGAATCGCGTTTACGTAAACGTATATTATGCTGTGCTGCTTGTAATCGCTTGGACGAACAATTCCGGGGGGGGGGGGGCTTTCAGTCGATCCTGTGACTTTGAATAATCCCAATATCCGTCAATACACACAATATACAATACAATATATGATAAAAATTAAAAAGAGAGAGAGAGAAAGACAACACAACACACTTTAAACGATTAATCCAGGTAATCATCTCGCAGGCGATAAACGACGGGCTGAGCGTGAACTCGCTCGTGCCGGTCATGTGCTCGGGAGCGGGTACCCTGATAGCCCGTTACGACGAGCACGCTCTGGTCTCGCGGTTCAAGTTCGGGGTCCTCCACCAACGAGTCCGGCAGGTCACCGAGGAGCAGCTGTTCGGCAACCGGCAGATCACACCTGCCTTCCAAGAGTTCCTCGATTTGCTCGGCCAACGCATCGATCTCAAGGATCACAAGGGGTGCGTACTTATACACCATGCGATAAACCTCCGTGTCCTTTTACGACTCCTTTGATATGGAATTGTCGAGTAGATTTTGTTTTCTTTGCTCATATAAATAACATTAATACATACCTGTTCTTTGAGATGCATATTCATTATGTTTCATTCAATCTTCGAGTTTGTATGCTTTCGTACTTTTTTTTTTTACGCGTCTCATTTGACTGATGTCTAAAATGTTGAAAAACACTCATCAGACTTGAGCATGGATACTTTCGAAATCTTTTTGAAACATTTTTTTTTTTTTTTCAATTTGCTGCCAATTGAATGTTATAATAATGTTAAAAAAATTATTTGGCAGCAATAACAATTAATTGTAATTTTAAAGGAAACACTATTTAGGAGAAAAAAAGAGTTGAATTAATCAAGTACTTAACAATGAACTTCAATGCGTAAAATACGTTGCGCTTATCTGAATGAATGTACAAATGTTTTGTTGAAACAGATACCGAGGTGGCCTGGACACGCGCCACGGTCAAACGGGTGATACAGCGGTGTACGAGGTGTTCCGGGGCCGAGAGGTGCTATTCCACGTGGCCTCGATGCTGCCCTACAGCCCCGGGGACTCGCAGCAACTGCAGCGCAAACGTCACATCGGCAACGACATCGTCGCCATCATCTTCCAGGAGGAGCCCACGCCCTTCAGTCCCGACATGATAGCCAGTCACTTTTTGCACGCCTTCATCGTCGTCCAGGCCATCGATCCTTGCACGCCTAACACGAGGTAAAAAAAACTTCCCTCACAAGAACATTTATTTTCATCCTAACTCGTCACATCATGCTCTCAGCTGCTCCTGAATCACCTTTACTGGTTTATCGAACAAAACACTCCACCCTAAACTCTTAAACAATCCTTTTCCTTCTTCCGCTGTACAGATTTGTTTCTTTTTAGCTTCCATCCTCAATTTCTGATTTTTTTTTTTTTTTTTTTTTTTTTTCTTTACAAAACTGATCCTCCGCGCTTTACAACCTGAGTCTCCTTATTAATGATCTTTTGTGTATAAAAATGCATTTTCAGAGCTTGCCTCATATGACAAACAATAATAATCCAACAACTGTATATAACGTACCAGCCCTAAATCTCCCCCTTACAAGACATAACACTTCTTACGAGGTATAGGTGCCTACACCCCCAAATATATATCATCACCCATTGTTCCCATTGCGAGGATAAAGTATATGGATGAAAGTAATAATTACCGCACATAAAGGGGCTACTTGATTACGCTCGGGAACATTACGGTAATCGATGATGGTGATGGCGACGAAGAAAGAATAGGTACAAGGAATAATGAAAAAACTTTGCACGCACTTTGTTGCCCCAACGGCCGCTTCATTAAATTATATCGTCGGATCTTCGGAGCCCCTGTGTGTGTGTATGCTGACCGCAAATTTCCCCCTTAAGCGAGCCAGCCGCAAACAGATTCGAGAACATCCGATAATCGAGTTTTCGCGATACCGCGGTCCATCACGCGTAGGGCTACCGAGAAATTTTTTCAGTAACCGGCATTGTTAAGAGTAAATCGTGTCTTTTACGGAAAATAGGCTATTTTGTTCTTAACTTGCGAGAAATTAATCCATACAATCTATCTAATTGCAACAATCTGTTGACAGGTACAAAGTCAGCATCACGGCGCGAGACGACGTGCCCTGGTTCGGCCCGACCCTTCCGACTCCGGCTGTTTTCATGCGCGGAGTCGAGTTCAAGGAGTTCCTGCTCACGAAGCTCGTCAACGCCGAAAACGCGGCCTACAAAGCCGAAAAGTTCTCCAAGCTCGAGGTTTGTCTTGTTTTTTTTTGTTCTCTCTCTATCTATACCTCTAAACATCACAATGATGAAATGGATAAACAAAAATGTTCTCTCGACCTGTACAGTTGCGCACGAGAACGGCTCTGCTCGAGTCCCTGGTCGAGGAGCTTCAGTCCAAGACCCAAGAGTTCCTGGGCTCGGGTCTCGGTGCCACAAACTGCCCGGTGAGTCCTACCTCGGGCGGGGATGTCTCCGGCACCAGCTCGAGCGGTGGTGGCGGTGGCGGATCTCGGTTCATCGACACCGTGCGCAAGGCCCTGATTTCTCGGGTGCGCAACGCTTCGACCGAGAGCGTGCCCCAACAGCTGTCCAAGAAAGCCCAGTCACTCGAGCCCAGTCCACCCAGCAACAGGCAGTCCACGGGCGGCGGCAAGCTATCCACCAGCGCCTCAACCGGCAAGAGATCCGTCGAGCCGGCCAGTCCGCTTGGATCGCCCGACCTCACTCTCAGGAGGTAAGCAAGTCTTCGCATGCGTGATGGTGGGTCGAATTAGTCAAAGAAAGCCACATGACCATTTTTTGCACTCGTGTCAGCAGGGACTCGGACAGGAACAGCCCGAGTCTGGGTAGCCAGGACAGCAGTTTGTCCAACACGGACAACCAGGACAGCAGCAGCTTGACCACGGTACAGCAGCAGGACGAGGACAACAGGCGCGAGACCAGCTCACTGAACGGCCTCGCGAGTGAGGGCAGCAACAGTAACACCGGGAGTGTGAGCATCGCCGAGAAGTGCGCGAGCAGCGGCAACGTCGTGCTCGTCGGGTCCTCGTCGTCGTCGAGCTCCGGCTTTCAGAGGCTCACCCATGAGAATCTGAGGAGGCGAGAGGAGCGAGCTGCCGCCGCGGCTGCTGCGGCGGCCGCCGCAGCCCTTCAGGAGAAGACGATAATCGAGCAACAGCAGCACAGGGTTGTGTCCGAGAGCGACGATAGTTCACTGAACAGCGAGCTCGAGCTCGACCAGGCCGTTTATCCGGACAGCGACACGGGACTGGAGAGCATGAGCTCAGCCGAGACCCACGAGGCGAGGTGTAGTGCTGGAAAAGAGGCCGGTCAGACCGGGTTGGTCATGGAAACGGACCTGCTCAGGCAGGAGGTCCAGAGGCTCAAGGGTGACAAGCTGGACTTGTTGAGGCAGAACGTGGTAAGTACTTCTTGAAATGATTCGTAATGTAATCAAAGAGTTTCATTGCAATGGGGATTTTTATTTTTTCGTTAAAGTCATGCCAACGAGATATAAAGCGCCTGCGGGAAAAAGAATTGGAACTACAATCAGACCTGGCGTCAGCCTCGAAAGAGATTCTCCGGCTACGAGCGATGCTCAAGGAGTGCTCGACGGGCTTACCTCTGGATAACAACAATCAGCAGGCGTCGACCGTATGAGAGGAGTGATCCAGCGGTGATCCCTAGATTACCGTGGCGATTGATAAGAGGCACTGACGGTGCTTTGCGAGCTTTAAAAGCGGCCAAAGCCTAGAAGCTATACACACACAGCTGTATATGTACAAAATAAGGAGTGCGCAAGAGATAACGTGTAGAGTATAGAGCAACAATAAGCGAAAACGAATTCTTCTGTCGTGTCTTTCTCACCTTTGTTCTCTGTTGTCGTTGACTCGTCGTTGTTGCAAGGCCCGAATTAAGAAGTCACAGAGATCTTTAGACGTATCTTTTGTTCGATCTTTCAAATAACACGATCATGTTCATTAATAATTGGTTTTTTTTTCGATAACAGACAAAGATCTTTTCATCTCAAGATTTGCAATTGGTGTAATTACATATTTACTGCGCGTTATGTAAACCCTAGAAAACGCTATGCTCATTCTCGTTACAAGTTGTTGTCATTCTCAACTTTTTTTCGAAAAAAAAAAAAGAGACAATGTAGCTTCTCTTTTAGACGATGTTAAAGAGAGAAACAAAAAACTAAACGTAGAGTTACGATGATGGGTACAAATTATGAAGAAATTCAATGCTTATGTATATAAGAATCACGTTGCGTGTAAGCAATGAGATAGTGAGTCGCTTTGCGAGTTTTTATTCGACGAAAGGGAGCTTTAGAGACTCCGTTGACACGCGCGCACGCTAAGAGAATGACGTTATATAGCAAACCTGACTGTGAGAGTATTTGTGCAAGTTGTATTTGGAAAGTATTTAAGATACTAATTTATTTTGTAGCTGATAAGACAACGCAACAAAAAAACAAATCCCTCTTTGTAGTCAATGTATAGAGAGATAAAAAAGAGAGAGTATAATGATGTATTAATTATATGGAAAATAAGAAAAATTAAAAAATGCCGACAATCGCTGTCGATGTGCATGTTTTAGATGATTGAGGCTTGAGTATATAAAAAAAAAATTGTTAGATTAAATTTTTAAACGTTACTCTTGATTGCACCAATGCACACCCATGAGTAGCAAACAAAATTATATTGAGAGCACACATTATACATCGATATTATCATTGCTATATTATTAACACTTATTATTATTACTACTATTTTCATAAGTATTAGTTAAATCGTGTTACCTAACTACTATCTCCCATTATCAGTTGTTCTTTTCTTTATCTCAGTTGCACCTTTCATTTATTTTTGCGAGCTTCTACATCCGTATGCATCCTTTCTTTAAAAGAATGAGATATATCAAATCGATGTAAATGTAACGTACATTTTAGCGCTCGTTAAAACTCTGCAATTTATAGAAATTATTTATGATATGTAATTAAAAAAAAGTTTATCTATTGGTTAACGATGATCCTAAGATTTATAATCTTGCTAAATTTTTTATGAATCATATTATTGAATTACGATAACGGTCAGTAATACAAATTAAAAATTTTATGGAATAAACTGTATATTCTTATATGCGGCATATAATGTATGTCAAGTATTACAAAAGATTAATCCTTTTTTTATAAAACTATTTTCTTCTTACTTGTATTATTCCCTTCTTTCTAATGATTAAAGATTTTAATGCATCTAATGATTTAATTGGTTATTTTTTACATTGAAATACGTTCGTATATATGTGTACATATATCAGTAATAAAAAATTGTAGTAGAGCACCAAACACGAATAAAAAAAAAACAACTAGCATCGATCGCATAACCAAATACCAAAGTTTATCTCGTTAAGATTGCGCTCTTTACTTTCCTACATTCCTCGTTTCCTCTTCAGATTGTATTGCACATTTTTCGGAGCACAAGCGGTAGCGCACAATCGTTGTAAAACTTACAAACAAGAAAAAAAAAAAAAAATAATAAATAAATGAATACGGAAAATTAGGAGAGAAAACAATAATTGTATGCAAAAAACTTTGATTAATGAAAAAAAAAAGCTTTTGTATTTTCTGTTGATAAGATCATCCAAATAAATACAAATATAACAAACAAAGAAAGCACCATTTTTCTATCCGCCACTGCCTGTGCATTGTAACATTCGCGATAACGTTGATGCTATATATTATCATGTATACTTTGTACAAATTTACAAATGCGATACTTATTTCCAAATTTCTTGAAGAAAGTATTCAATTTTATTAATCTCTTAGGTTGATAATTTTTATGTAAAAATTTAAAACTTAATGCGTGAACTATGAATGTGAAAAATAGCGTTTCAGAAAATAAAAAATGTGTTTCGTTGTTAAGAAATTTTTTTAACCGCTAATGGTCAGAAAGGATGGACACAGTAAGCCCATTTTATTTTTTCTATGACTGTAAATACCGTAGAAAAAAGTAAAAAAACAGAGAAATAATGTGCGCTTCGCTGTACGTCTTGTGCCACTGGTCTCAGCGGTCTCTTTGTCTACATAGGGACTACAAAAACTAACAAGATAGTTAACCACACCTAGTGTGATTTCTACGTTGGCCTTGAAAAATCAAAGAGAAAATAAAAGATTATCAACTATATGGAGAGCATAAAAGAATGGAAAGAAAGAAAGATAAAGAGAGATGCGTTATATTGTATTGGAAGAAGACAGATTAAATATGACTATATAAACACGTATATAGTATATAAAAGTATATATTTTATATTTAAATATTTAAGAAATGAAGAATTATTCTCATCTACTTATATAGTGACTGACCTCCAAACTCCGACATTCTTTAAAAAACTTTACAGGAAAATAAGATGTTCACAAGTCTCATGGTATAAGTGTTTGTACTTTTTGTTTGTTGCACCACTTCTCTATGACGAGAAAATGTTCGTCAAATAAACAAAAATAAATAAATAAATTTGTTTTATTGATCCTTTTCAGATATAACATGACTCATTCTTGTATGTATACATTTTTTTTTATTTTTTATTTTTAACGATCAACTTAAATTGCCGAGCTCATCGTGTTATAATTAGAGTTTATATTTGATGGATTGATTTCTCGTGGTTGTGTTATTAAGAAACATTTAAATGTTTTTTTGCAGAAAAGAATCAAATGTATAATCAAATTAAAGTTTTTATAAAAACTGCAGTGTAAATTTCAATAAATGTTAAAAAAGAATTTACTAAAAACCTTTGCACAGATTAAAAATTTTTTTTCTAAATTACGGAGTTTAACAACTCAAGGTTATTTATTTAAATATATTTACATTGTATGCAGTATTAAAATTTGACTGTCTCGTCTTCAACAATTAAACTCTTGTCTCTTATCATCTGAACTCTGTACTTGTCACCTTCTAAATCGGCATCAAGTATCTTCAACCTTGATATATTTATTAACTTGGGATTGTCAGGAGCTCTTTCTGTGTTGACCAAATCCAATATATCGCCAATGTTCACAGCGATACCTTTCTTTTTAGCTTTTTGTCCATTCATTCGTACTCTACTCTCGTAAAAGGCCTGCTCAATTTTATTTCTAGATACACCAAGTCCAGCTTTCAGCACGGCATCTAGCCTCATGCCGCTTACTGTGGTGTTTATGAGTTTGGCTTTTTTTTGATTGAGCGCAAGCGTATCTTCGTCATCAAGTGTTTCCAGGATTTTATCGTCGTGTTTATATCTTACAGGGAGAAAAAATGATTTTTGCGTGATTGGGAGAATCAACCTTTTGGCAGTACAACGAGACAGTCCCAATGTCATAGGAATTAGAGAGAACTGTACATGCATTGTTTCAGCTTATAATCCAAAAACTATGTGCTGAATGAAAAATCTATTCGCTTAACAATGTAATAATTTATAACATGAGGCAACTAACAGTGCAATAGTAGTAGTTTCCATAGCCATCCTACAATTTTAAAATATCAAGATAAAATAATTCTTGAAGATATACATAATCAAATGTTAACGCACTTCACTTTGCTGTTAAATATACTTACTAAAACTTGCAAGCGACAAACGTTTGTTTGTTCCGTAATGTTAAACAGTAATTCATATATTGTCTATATTCCAATAGCTGTGTTTATTCGCTCAAAATCTATACATAATCGCGTGAACAAAAATTAAAAAATTCAAATTATAAGTATGCCTCAAACGACATTGTAACAATGATCAAGATAGAGGTTAGATACCCATATCATATTTTCATTCTGTCAGAAATTTCTCGTCGGCTGTTTGTGTGCGTGTAAGTAAGTAAGTATATAGAGTACTCTACACTACTCTACTCATTAGGTTTGTTCAAGCCCATGCATTCTCGGTGAGACTCGGAGGTATAGGAGAACTGAATGAACTGTTCTTGCAACTTAGTGGTCTTCTCCGAGAGTCTCCGAGAGTCTCTGACGTTTTTGACTGTACATTAAGTATGGTCAATTTTATTAAACCATGTAAGGATATAAAAGTAAATTATCTGTACTTTTGGTGCTCGTTTATCAGGTAGAAGACAAACTGTAAACTTGCCGCAAACAAAATCAATAATGTCAACTTATTAATATCTCTCTGTAAATTCAGTTGCGGCTGGTTTATAATTAATAATGTGGCTCTGCTGTAAGTAGTAATAATTATTTGGATCAGCGCCATCTAGCGTTGCGGATTTCTGGACTAAAAAGTGGCCCTAAACTTTCCAGCCAGAGCTTTAGCGAGTAGAGCCATTTGGTCATTTATAAACCAGCCGCAACTTATCTTGTAGCTATAAAATAAAAAAATAACGGTACATGTGTTTTTGGCGGCAAGCTAACAATTGATCTTTAACTCGAAAATTCGTCTTAAAAAGTATAAATACATATAAGGTCAATTTTTTGGTAAAAAATAGATTGTTAACTTGCCGCCAAAAACACATGTATCGTTATTTTTTTATTTTATAGCTACAAAATGAGTTGCGGCTGGTTTATAAGTGACTAAATGGCTCTACGCGCTAAAGCTCTGGCTGAAAAGTTTAGGGCCACTTTTTAGTCCAGAAATCCGAAACGCTAGATGGCGCTGATTCAAACAATTATTACTACTACAGTAGAGCCATTTAATCGGTTATAAACCAGCCGCAACTAATTTCGTATACACAAAATTAAAAGATGACGTTGTCTAGGCTATTTGCGGCAAGTATACAATCTATTTTTACCCGAAACTCGACCTCTAGTGGACCTCTAATGGTTAATAGTGGAGACTCTGCGATACCAGCGGCTGACCAAAGCTCAGTTGAAATCGTATTACTGGCCATCGATACTTTTTAATTTAAAACTTGCGTCTCGTTATATAGAAAGCACTGACAATATGAAAACAGTCGACGAAACATTCTGCATTCTGCCTCGTTTGACTATATACTTATTGAACGCAATCGCAAAATGAACGTCATATACTTAATAACAACTGTATTATACCGAAATTGCAATGAAGTATTGCAGACATTGCGGTGGGTATATATGCTACCATGAGCTAGATTAATCTTACCATCAGATTAGAGTTGGCAATAATAACAATATATAATATTGCGAATTACCTGCAGTTGGCCCCTTCTCTCTCCACGATGCCATATATATAATTCGCGTGAAAAACAAGAAAAAATTTTTATCTGCAGAAGATCTCAACGACTTACTATACTAGTACAGTACATTCATCAGCCTCTCTTCTCACCTTTTGCTTGATGAGCTCATAAGCTCTCTCGACTCTCTCTGATTTTGTATTTTTTATTATAATTGTACATAGTCAGGTGTACGTAAATGTGTAAAAAATCAAGTGTGCATAGATCTGGAGCTGGTTGGCCTGGAATAGTACTTACTTGAACCTCCTAGGAGAAGGGAAGATCTAGAGGAGACATCACATCCTTCCACGCTTCATGCACTTTTTAGCCTACAGCTATACAAAATGAAGAGAAAACAAACACCAATGACTTTTCTACTCATCAGCTTATATTTACTATTTTTTATACACTTATTAACATAATTGTACATAACATTATCTGTAGGTGAATCAGTGCAAGTATGAGCCAAATGAATGTGTACGTAGAAAGCAGATTGAAAGATCATCATCATCACCACCATTACCATTTATAGCTTCAGTATTAGGGTGCAAAGTAGTAGGTAAGGAGTGAGCTTTATCGATGATGGCTGAGAACGGCTAATAATCTTTTGAGCGGTGCTCTCTGGCGCAGCAGCAGGTGAAAAAACATTATACCTATACTAGCACGGCGGCGCAGAGGAAAAGAGAGAGAGAAAGCAGAGAAGGGAAAAGAAAAAAGAGAGAAGAGGCAAGGAGCGACAGAGCGAGACAGACACGGTGGTGGAGCAAGCATACCTATACCTATTTTGTATGCTTGATGTGTGGAGAGCCCGGAGAGAGAGAGAGAGAGACCTGAAAGAGTATAGCGAGCAACAGCAGACACTCCACACGGAGAGGAGGTCCCGCACGCGGGCAGCCGTAGCTAAGTGTCTCCTCTCTCGATTTCCACCACGTCCACCTCTTCCTAATCGGTACCTGTGCTTGCTTAAAAACCGGAGTTACCTGTATTTTCCATGGGTACATGTGTCAGATGAGAGACAATTCGACTTTGTTTTGAGAAAAGAGTTTTTTTTGAGACTTTGGAGCAAAAAAGGCATGCTGGTACAAGAGGAAGAAGAGGCAAAGAAGAAGAAGAAGAAAGAGCAATATTACCCTTCAGTTACTGCTGCTAACTCTGAGAGAGGTGTAGTGCGTGTATGCTTGTGTGCCCGTAAGCTTCAAGAGGATGGTGCTTGTAAGTGTTGATTTACACCGGTAGTCCTAGTCAGCATTACTCCAGGAGCTTGTCAAGTGCCTTAAGAATATGATAGTGCAGGTGTTGAATAAATGTCTCCTTGGAAGGTTCATCATCCTTGTAGTCACTGGTGTAATTGGATAATCAATGAGTACTCTCTCGAGGCAGCTCTCCCACGCGACGTTTTTTTTTAATCTCAGTCTTGGAGGAGTTAGTTCTACTGCTGGTTAGTTTGGATGTATATTATACTTGTTGCTTTCTTTGAAGGAGTCTGCTGCACTTACGTGTGTGTGTGTGTGTTTGTGTACGAACAGGTACTTTACCCAGAGACTTGTTGCTTTCTGCTTGCATTTAAGGATGGCTCTGCCTTCTAGGTACGCTCACACAGATGTAAAAACCTCTATGGTGTGAGTGTTCATTGAGTTCATTGAGATTTGTGTCTGATACTCTAGCATGCTGAAATCGGTCATGTACTCTTTTTATGGCGTAACTTTCAAGTTTTTACTGGTTTTTTTTGTTAATGTAAAATTTTGCTACAACTCAAAATTAACAATGAACTGTTTAAACCTATCTCTACATTTTAATTATCATTTGTATAAGACTAGATATTTCATTGTTTAAATTTTAATGTCGACTTGTATCTTACATTGTGCTTGACATCATTTATTTTCGTTGTGTAAGAAAAAAAATAATATTAAATGTTTTTTGTGGCTTAAAAAAAGTAAATACACATACATAGGTATGTTCACTTTTCAGTTATTTAATGTTTCCACAAAAAACATCTATGGTAACTCTTTTGGAAGCACTGAAATCGGTACTTATAGTTTTTGTTAGTGTTTAAATGTAAAACCTTGTCCTTAAAATGCTTTCTAAAAAAAAAAAAAAGCCCAGTAGCTTCCATCAAAAATTCAATCACAGTCGCTCTTTATTGTTTCACACATAGTCTATTGATTTTCACAAAATCTATTTTTAAAAAGCAATCAGGTCTCTTTACCTACATGTTTGTATTTCAATATTGCAAAATCATCCAATTTTTCGCTTGAATTCACCAGCATGAAAAGGACAAAGGCATTGGACGTGTCTGTTTGACTGAACACACAGCAATTTCATTCTGTCAAGACAGCCAGATAGGCTGAGCTCTGATATTTCAAAGATACCAGATCCCTTGCCAGCGCATTATTTCCCTACATTCCTGTATCGCTCCGGGGCAGCAGCTAATATTGGCAGTAGTTTGTTGTACACCGCAATCTACTATTGGATTTCCTTGACACAAATATTGTAGCAGCAGCAGCAGCAGCAGCTTGCATCCCTTATCCATTGCATATTTAACTCAGCCTATACCAGGCCAGCCTTAGCCTAGCTCACATTCTCTCCTATAGCTTGCTCTCTTGTTTGCTCTCTTTTACTTTCTCTCCCTATGTACATGTACATATTACCCACATATATTATATACACCTACAGTATAGGTATAAAAGCGTTCATCTCATGAGCTGTTTGTTGTTGTTGTTGTTGTTGTTGTGTGTTTTCATATAGGTGAGGGATAGAGAAGAGAGTAACATCAGCTCAGCACCTCATCTCTGTATTGTGTACACGTGAATTGTTATTGTATTATGAAGGATATGCGTCGCGTTAGAAGAGCAGCATCGGCGGCAGCGGTACAAAGGGCTCAGTCTGGCGTTAAGTACGCCGGTGCATCGTCGTCCTCGTCCTCGTCGCCGTTTAGATTTCAACGACCACTAATACTGCTGATGCTGGAGTAGTGCATCATAAGCAAGCGATGGAGAGCATGGCTTCTGGGGCCTCCTCCCTAGACAGCGCTGGAAGCAGTGGTGTGTATATTTTTATTTTTTGTTTTCTGTATTGCTATGATATATTTGTGCTTTACAATTTTTTCTGTTGTTGGTTTGTGACATTCTGGTTTTTACATGACTCAAAGTCAAAAGAGATTTTGAAGAAAAAAAAACAAACTAAATTATTATTACAGATTTCCGATTTACGGATGGTTCTTTCTGCGGCCTCTCATTATAATTTCTCCAAATAATTAATTTCTCTTTCGTACGTGCTCAACGCACCTCGAACAGCGCAAACAGTAAAAGTAAACGCGCGTCTCGGTGCATACAACACGCGTGTTTGGAAAAAAAAAAAACCACAAAGTTGCACGAATACACGAGCGTCTTGGCATTGCCTGGTACGATTCACTTTTGATTTCGCTAATAACGCAAGGACGGAGAAAAAGAGAGCAAACGAAAAGGAAACGAAAAAAAAAATAAACAACTACTGCGGGGGATCGGTAAATCACCGATGCTCTCGCGTGCGTGACCGATGGTTTCTTCTCTCTCTCTCTCTTTCCTGGGTGAAAGCTGCGCTTACGGGCTTGTTGTTGAATATCGCATTGTTTTCGACCATTGTATAGGTGCACGTATATGGTACAAGTAGTAGGTGAGCAATTAAACGTCACAGTCCGTCGGCTCTCTTTTGCACCTCGCGATGACGCCATATCACGTCATGTTTGCTTTCTACTCTCTGTCTATGCAACGATTGTGACTTGTGGGCTATTTTTTTTTTTTTTTTTTTTTCGATGGCCAATGAGATTGATTTCTGTGCGGATCTATGATAACAACGTCGTACCTTTTTTTTTGCTTTCAGATGGAGCTCTCAACGTGGGTAAGAAATCGTCATATTTACACCTATCTCTCCGTAAAGCAGCAAATTTCCATAGCCGAATGTTTCGATGTTGTAGTTTTGTCACAAATTCTAAAGATTTACTGTTCTCGCACTGCCCGATCACTATTATATTTTGTTTGTTTTCCCAAACTTTTTTTACATCTTGGTTTTCTTTCGGAATGATTTTTGTGGATGTTTTGCGCCAACCACACGTACAGACCGAGATATCGGAGGCTGCGACGGCGTTGGAAACACCGAGTGCCGAGGCGATTACGACGACTTGCAAGCACAGTACCAATTATTGAGACACAAGCACTCAGACACTATTAGACGGTTTGTTTCTCTGTTGGTTTTACTTTTGTTTGTTTTTATTTCTCATTTTTCAACTAACACGTCGCACCCAAATCCAGGAGTTGATATGGAAATGAATCGATTGTTAATTATAATGCGCGCACACGTGCGTGCCGTCGAAGGAGCGACCTCGTACGTAATATCATGAGAAATTTCAATGTACACCCAGTGAACCGTACTAAGCTCCAGTATCGCTCTACGCACAACATTCGTACGGAATTTCAGGATAAAACAATGGCCATTCGAGCTCGAGCGAACTTTACATTCGTACGCGTTTCTCCACTTTTTTTTTTATTTTTGCATCAGCACTACGTGCATCCTTTTTTTTCTCTTACATACACGTGCAAGCATTACCAGTCTCTATGTTTTCCTATTTTCTTTTTTTTTTTTTTTTTTTTTTTTTAAAGAGTAAAACAAAAGCCCGAGCTTTAAATATAGCGACGTGGACTCAATAATCGATGCACCAGGGGAAAGGGAGCATGTGCACACGACGACGTCGAGAGACTCGAGAGTTCCGCGGAAATTAAAATCCCGATGGATCTTACGACATAAGCCTCGCCTTGTTCAGTTTTGAAAAAGAGGAAAAATCTTCATGATCGACCGAGGAGAGTTATTTTCATCGTTTTTTTTTTTTTTTTTTTTTTAATCAAAAAGAGAGTATTTGAACAGCTTTGACTTGTACATACCTATTTTAAACGATTTTAGATAAAGCTTCGTCCGAAAGGTAATTAAGACGCGATACTTTGGAGCGACGATGAGCTTGGTGTTCGTGACATTTTTATTGTGCACTTGACGCGCGTGGACTCGTGTATATTGTACATTTGCAACACGCAGGTGAAATGCTTGTGTACACGCTCGTTCGAGCTTATCAATCACGAACTACCGGCGCGTGATAACTGTTTCACTGGACTTTTGCCAGCTCGGCTTAAAAAAGAAAAAAAAAAAAAAAAAAAAAAAAGAAAAAGAAAATAAAATAATAACAATAAAACGTGAGCGTGCAAGAAGATTATCTCGATAGCGAAAAGCAACTCCAGTAGGCTCGCCACGTTCGCGCGGAATATAATGAATTTGTTCAGTCGTTGTTCCAAAGACTGGCGGCTCGTGTGTCTCGTGGCGAAAGTTTTGTTGGCCCTGCAAAAACTGGTGATCACCGAATACATCGTGTTATATCGGAAGAGGACCATGGTTGTATCCGGGATGGACGAAACGTCGGTAGTAATTGTTTTTTTTTGTTTTTGTTTTTTTTTTGTTTTTTTTTATTGAATTTTCCCTACGGATCGATAGTGAGGGTACTGGAGCTATCGTCTCGATCTTTTTCACGTATACGAGTGGGTGATTCTCCACTAATTTTAACACAAAATCAATACTAGACTTTGAGTCTATACGGAAAAAAACCTTTTTTTACGTCGGTCAAACATTGGTTTTTGTGGCATGACAAAGGCATTTTGTAAAAAAAAAAAAAAAAAAAATTAGTGTTAAATCACCCCTGTCCTGCTCGCTATTGATCTAAAAAAATTAATTTCCTCGCTATACCAGTGAATGAAAGTTAACACGTATATAGCAATGATAAAACACACGACAAGTATCGGTATGGACGGTGGAGTAAAATTGTAAATAATGATTCCAAAGGTGCGAGCATACTATGAAGGAGCTGGAGTACTACCGTAGCCAGCACATAGCAGCGATGAGCCAATCAGAATCGACATCCGTCCAGGATCCGGGCGCCTCGTTGCGCTCAAAGTACAGCGACAAGCAGCTGCTCGACAAAGACGACAACAACCTGCTGGTGGCCGATTCCGCGGCCAACGCGGCCGACGCCATGAATCAGCACTACATCTCGGCTTTGAGGAAATACGAGGCCGTCAAGGACGAGTACGAGTCGCTCAGGAAGCGCTACGACGATCTCATATCCTCGCACTCGTCCGCCGTCAATAAGGTCAGTTTGTATAATAAACGAGACAAGGTTCACTTTTACTCTTCACTATGGGCCTAAAAAAAAGTCGTTATCCAACTTATGTTGATTAAAAAAAGTTTTTTTTTCCCCTACCCACCTCGGTATTCCAATTATATATCCTCGATGTATAATTATTCGTCCAAATGAGCTCGTTACTCAAGCTCAAACAAAGTTCGTCCGTGCTATATATGTTGGACAGCCGGTATTTCATCGAGAATTTCGAGCACGCCCGTTGGCTACCGACTAAATATTCGAGCCTCGCGGCGCATCGCAGGGCACCGAGGCTTTAGATTGTTCAACAAACTTAAACTCAAAAGAACGAAGAAGAAAAAAAAAAGTCAGTGCTCGCGTGTTGTCGAGCCACACGCCGTGGCACGTATACCTGGCGGCCGTTTTGTTATCGCGTTAACGAACTCGAGGAGCAACTAATTACAATCGTTTCTATAAATAATCCAGTACAGTATGCGTATATATACCAACGCTCGCTGCAGCGATTTATATATACAGTAAACGGGAAACAACTGGATGATTTCGCGTACGGCTTAATTAACGGCCTTCGTTGTTCCGCGTCGCTTAATTGGATTGTAAACATTCGCGACCAAACAAAACATAGAGTCAACTGAAAAAAGCAAAGGAAGAAAGACACGCGTCGTTATATAGTGCTCACCTGTCGATGATCGTTGCAGCTCGAGTTGGCCCAGGATGAATCGGCGAGGCTGAAGAAACAGTACGAGGACGTGGTCCAGGGTCGCAATAGCGCGGTACGCGAGTGCAACGGTCTGAAGCAGCAGTGCACCGCGGCTATACGGCAATGGGACATAGCTCTGAGGGAGAGAAACGAGTACCGGGAGGCTCTGACCAAGGTCTCGCAGCAGCACGAACAGTCGGTCAAGGAGATCAATCAGATGATGATCGGCCGGATGAAGGCCACCAAGGAGATCAAGAGGCTCACGGAGGAGCGCAACGCGGCCATGCACGAGTACAGTCTGATCATGAGCGAGCGGGACAACGTGCACCAGGAGATGGAGACCCTCAGCAACGATCTCAGCCAAGCGTACAACAAGATCACTCATCTCGAGAACGACAACAAGAAACTCATCGAGGAGGTTTGAATTTGCGTTTTCTCCCTTCGAATCGAGATTAATGGATTAAATATCGGTTCGTTTGTTTATTTACTTTTTTTTTTTTTTTTTTTTTTTTTTTTCCATACAGAAAAAGGCACTGACCTACCAGGTGGAGACACTTGAGCGAGAGATCGCTTCGTCGCTGAGGGACAGAGACGAGGCGCTCAAAGAGTGCAACGAGTTGCGGCAAAAGTTCGGTGATTACAGCGAGGCGGCGGGTCGCGATCACTCGAGCAGTCGACTGGAATTACACTCGTCGTACGGCAGTGCTACGGAGCGCGACAGCCTGGCGCACAAGGATGGGGTCGAGAAGGCGAGCGACGCAGCCAACAAGCGCGACAAGGAGCGCATGGACAACATCGATCAGGCGAATCTCGAGCTGGACAAGATGCGCAAGTACGTCGACAAGCTGCAGGCCGAGTACGAAGAGGCCATGCAGGAGGCCGAGGTGTCGAAACGCAGGCGCGACTGGGCGTTCTGCGAGCGCGACAGGATAGTCGCCGAGCGCGACAACATTAGGAGCATGTGCGAAAGGTGGGTATATAGTCGGATAGTTGTTGGAAAATGTTTGTTGATTGGTGATTTCTCAATCGTAGACTACGCAAGGAACGAGACCGCGCAGTTTCCGACCTGGCGAACGCACTGCGGGACTCTGACGAAATAAAAAAGCAACGAAACGAGGCTTCCAAAGAGCTCGCCGACCTCAAGGAGAAGCTCGACTCTGGCGATCACACTCTACCCGGCCAGTACGGTGGTTATCAGACCAACGTGCACGACTCGGACAGCGAGTGGGAAGCCGTGACGGTACACCTGGATTTCGGTAGACTGGGCTCTCACGATTCGGAGCGCGACCTTGGCCTGATGCTCGTGGGTGGCCGAGACAACCCCTACTATCCGGACGACACGGGTGTCTACGTGGCACAGGTTGCACCTGGTAGCGCGATCGAGGACAAGCTCAGGGTGAACGATTGCATACTCAGGGTCAACAACGTCGACTGTTCGTCCGTTTCGACGCGTATGATCATGGACACGTTGAGGTCGTGCAGTGCTGGTCCGGCTACGCTGACGATTCGTAGGCGCAGGATTGGCAGGAGACCGCTGAGAACGACACAGCTTCCTATCGGACAAGTTCCCCACGGCATCACTCTGGAGATTGGTGTTTACATCGCCAAGATATCACCCGGTAGTTTGGCTGCCAAGGATGGCTATCTCGCAGTTGGTGATAGAGTGTTGAATGTATGAGTTTTTTTTTTTTTCATCCGAAAATTGTTTATGTATCAAAAAAATTGCCTGTGCTGCATGACTGATTGACTTTCCACGGTTTTTACAGATCAACAGCAAACAAATGGATGGAATCATATCCGTCCACGAGGCAATGGCAGTACTGAACGACACGTCAACGGACGTTCTTACTATCACTACTTTGAAGAGTATGCCACTGGCAGCAGCGTCGAGTTCCGATGCGATACCCCTGGATAGCAGCTACAGTCCGGAAAAGCAGAAAATGGTAAACAGCTGCTCGCAAACGGAACATGAGCGCTTGATGCTCAAAACTTCGGCGTCGGAAGACTACGAAGGCCGCTACATCGCCTCGAACATGGGCGAACGCAACCTCTACAAGGTATCCAAGTCAATGGGCAGCGATAAGCCCAGTGGTATCAGCAACGCTTGGGACAATTTTCGCGAAAAGATCGACCTGGTCAGGGGACGTCGGCACAGCAAGGAGCGCGAGGAGAAAAAGAAGAGACATCGGAATTCCAGTCCCAACACCTTTGAGCAGGAACAAAATGCTATCGCCGAACTAGACTCGGTGATAGAAAGTTACAAAAAGACCAACGGTAGGTGTATCCTGTAGTTTTTTCGCTTTTTTCCATCAATCGAATCCGTACTGTTGAGTAAAAAAACAAAGTGTACCCTATTTTATGAAACCTCATGGGAATTTTTTCCGATGTTTTGTCAGGAAACGGCGTGTTGAAGCGCAGCAAACGTCGTGGCGTGGGCTTAATCGGCGCCGGCGGTACGACAAGCGGTTTGAGCGGAGTTGCGGTGAGCGGTGGCAGCGAGAAGCAACCGGGAGCCGACAAGAACGGAGGTACGTGGCCGAAGGCGCGCATCAGCCCACTCATCCAAAACGGCACCGGCACGATCCTCCATCCTCGCAAGACCAAAGAACGCCTACCCCTTAGCGTACTCCTGAACCATCCCACGAAATTCGAGCCAAGCGCTTACAATTACAATCGCATCTCCAATCCCATACCCCTGTCGAACTTTGGTCCCGTTGGCATGGGCGGTGGCGTTGGTCTGAGCTCCAACAACAGCAGCAGCAGCAACAGGCACACAGTCTACAAGGCGGTCGAGAGCCCGCTGCCCAGTCTAAGTAAGTCCGCCCAGTTGAACAGTGGTCAGAAGTCGTTCGTGCCGTCGGCCGCCCAATTCAAGGGACTGCTGGAGAAACCAATGGTAGACGGGAGCCACGCACCCTCTGATACGAGCGTTGACTTTGCGATCAAGTCACCGCGCGACCTCGACTACTACGGCAAGAGTAAGCAGCAGCGCATGACCCCAATGTCCTCGAAATACACGCCCCTCGGTCACGAGGGTCCCAGCCAGATGGATTCGATGACGCACAATCGCATGCACTCGCAGCTCTACGGCTCGGGCACTTCACCCAGCTCTGTGCAGCACTCCCGCATCGTCGGACCCGGTAACTTCTCCATCCCACCGTACGCCCACTCCCACCCGCACTATCCGCTCCAGCTGCACCACCACCACCACCACCACCAGCAGCTGCAAAACCATCACCACCACCAGCAGCAGCAGCAGCAGCAACAGCCGAGCAGTCTCAACTCGAACTTGAGGTACCCATCGCCGCCGAATCTGCCGAGCGCTCAGTCGGGCGAGTCCCTCGGGCTACCCGATAGCCGGCCCTTCTGCTTCGAGCCACCCTACAGTCCCCAACCCCCTCCCCACCAATCGTCCCAGTCGTCCTCTTCGTCCTCCTCCCAGCCCCCGAATTTTGGTCACGTGCACGCGCCCTCGATCGACTTGGCGCACTTTCACAAACCCCGGGCGCACCCCACGATGAGCTCGTTCGACGTGCCGCCGTACGTGTCGACCCACAACAGCACCGGGGGCTTCGAGGGTGGCACCTTTCCCCGCAAAAAGGAGAACCAGCGCTTTCGCATACCCTCGAACCCGAGCGTAACCTCCAAGAGCAGCATCGGTAAGCTGTCCTCGGGGAGTATCGAGAAAACCTCGGAGCGGGGCAGTCCCATGCCGACCTTTCACGTCGAAATCTTGAGCCCCGGCACCCAATCGAGCAACAACTCGTCGAGCAGCGGTGGCAGCGGTGGTGGTGGCGGCGGTGGCGTCAGCGGTGCAGGCGGTGGGAGCCGTGGACCCGGTGGCGGTGGTGGTAGTGGCAATAGTAACAACGGGAAGCGCGCGAGCATGCCCGATTACTGTTCGTATCGGCCGCCCTATGGCCAAGTCAGACGCATCTACATCGACAAGAGTCAGGAGCCGTTGGGCATTCAGATCCAGTGTCTCCAGACCGGCGGCGTCTTCGTGTCTCAGGTCACGGAGCACAGTCTCGCCTCGCAGGTTGGTCTCCAGGTCGGTGATCAGCTGCTCGACGTGTGCGGCATCAACATGAGGACTTGCTCGACGTACGACGTCGCTGCCAACATACTCAGGCAGTGCGGTAACACCTTCACCATACTCGTCCAGTACAGTCCAGACAGTGAGTACTCGTTGTTCTCGTACATAGCTCGTGTATAGGCTCACCGAGGAGCGCGTGTATACAGTACCGACGCCGTTTGAAGGAACATCTTGGGTATTTTTTTTATCTTCATGTTTACCAATATTTACTTGTCACTTTTTGAAAATTTATCGTTATGCTTGTTGAATATGTATGTATATATATATATTTTTTTTTTCACTTGTAAACATAAGAAAATACGTTTGCTGGACAGGTAATTTAATATGTTGTTACATCTTTATAATATATACTGTTGTACCACACGGCGAGCGATTCGTCAGCTTTTTATACAATTTTGTAATTTATTTTTGCATTTAACTATTATTTTTTTATCTGCACGTTTGTAAATTTTATATCATCATATGTGTCTTAGATGTTTCTTTAGCGCAATTTTCTTTTGTTACACATTTTATAAAACATAAGCTAATGTTAAATACTCATCAGCATCGATTGGCATTTTTTCTTTTTCAACTTTTTGTGTTTTGAAGTACCAAGGATTGATTATAAGTTACGTTAATGCGTAACCAAGAACAGATACGTACAGACAAAATAAAAAATGCCAACGATTAATCACTCGTATGAACAATAATATTCAAACGCATGTATAAAATTAACAAAGCTCTAACATCCCACGGATCCTCTATCCGTTTTCTGTTTGCCGCACTCTCAGAGTACAGCGAGCTGGAGGGTTCGGGTTCATCGAGCGACTCCGACGTCAACCCGGAGAAGGAGAGCGCGAGCCACAGCGGCTCCTCGACGACCCCGTGCAACAGCCCGGAAGCCTCGCGTAAGAGCACGATCGAGCTCCTCGAAGCCGCTGAGCCACCCGAGCGCGACCAGTCCAGCTTACCTGCCCTCAGAGCACCCAAGGAGCGCGAACGCGACCGCGACAGGGAACGCGAGCTACGCGCCTCTGCTTCTCTTGAGGTAATTATCGCTGCTTTCCCCATATGTCCCCTCAGTATTTTACCTTGACACTGATAATCCATTTGCGCAGGTGAGGACCACGCAAGACCGCGACCGGGATATCAGGAACTCAGCTTCCCTCGACATCAACATCCGCAAGCCGGAGCTGCGCTCTTGCGTCACCTTGGACGGTATGCGCAACAGTATCGGCGGTACCGGCACTTTAACCCGTGCTCAGATCAACCAGGCGGTCACTACCTTGCAGCGCCAGAACGCCACCGTGCGAAGGTCAGTTGGTTAATTGTATTTTCACAAATGTAACCGAGTTGTAACTTCACTCAATTTTGTGATAAAACCAGCCCAACGCAAGAAGAGCAGAACCGGAACAACAAGGTCCCGCCGCCGACCGAGCCGCGTTACCTGTTCATCGAAACGCGCAAGTGCTCGAATCTCGGGATTTCACTGGTCGGTGGCAACGGGGTAGGCATCTTTGTGCACACGGTCCAGCCGGGCTGCCTGGCCGAAGAGGCAGGCCTCTTCACCGGTGACAGGATCCTCGAGTACAACGGCGTCGACTTGCGCCAGGCCACTGCCGAGCAGGCTGCCCTCGAGCTAGCTCGACCGGCCGACAAAGTCACCCTGATCGCCCAGTACATGCCGGAACGGTACCACGAGGTCAAGGACAAGCCTGGCGACAGCTTCTACGTCAAGGCCATGTTCGACCGGGTGCCCGACGGCAGTGACACCCTCCAGCTCAAGTTCAACAAGGACGACGTACTTTACGTGGACAACACGATGTTCAACGGGACTCCGGGACACTGGAGGGCTTGGCTCGTCGACGCGGCCGGTCGGCGGCTCACTTGCGGTATCATACCAAGTAGATTCAAGTGCGTTTTTTTACCCTCAATTGGTTTTGTTGGATGATTACAGGGTAGGATTATGCTTGATATTTGACTTTTTTACATTAGGGTCGAAGAGGAAGCGCTGTTGCGAAGATCGCTCGGTGATTTGGAGCCGGACGCGGGCAGCAGCAGACGAGGCACGACTAGCGCTCGGCGGAGCTTTTTTCGACGTAAGAAGCATCAGCGCTCGTCGAGCAGGGATAGCAAAGAATTGTCCCATCTTACAGGTGTAGGGAGTATGGGGTGGTACAGTGACAGTGGTACCTTGAATGAGGAAAACCTTCCCGTGAGTTACCAACGCGTTGAGAGGCTAGACTGTAAGTTTTCCAATTGTAAAACCGGATTAATTTGCTGCAAACAATTGATTTTTGTATCTATTTTTTTTACGTACACAGATCCAACAGCACGACCGGTCTTGATACTTGGTCCGCTCAGCGAATGCATTGCAACGAAATTACCGCAAGAATTTTCAAACGAGTTTCTTAGGTGCTTGCCCGAGGCGATGCACTGCTCACAAGCGACACTCGAGCAGGGCTTGAGGGATTCGCTTTACGTTGATTACCGCAAGAAAGGCAGCTACTTTGAGTGCACGACCGTCGAAGCGGTCAAAGGAATTTGTGAAAAGGTTCGTAATTAACTATCTGCGATCAACATGGCGCTTAATCGATAAAGTTTTTTCAATACAATGGCTTCATATTGTTTCAGAATGCCCATTGTATTTTGGATATATCGATAGCGTCGCTGGAACGATTGCACAGGCACCAGATATATCCCATTGTACTGTTGATCAAGTTCAAGAGTACCAAGCAAATCAAAGAGGTTAAAGATTCGCGTTATCCCAGTGACAAAGTTAGTGCCAAAGCAGCTAAGGAAATGTACGAGCAGGCTTTGAAACTCGAGTCGGATTATAGACAATTTATAAGCGGTAAATGCTTTTACCTATGTCTATGCACTGAAATGTTTCAAAGCAGCAATGCTCACGTTTTTTTTTTTTTTTTTTTTGTGTTGCAGCAATTATTCCTGCTGGAGGCAACATGTCCGACATTTGCTCACAAGTCAAAGCATGCGTTTATGTAGAGCAGAGCAAGGCGCTTTGGATGCCTCGGGGTGTTCCTTGACATTCAAGGGGGGGCTCCCGCAAGCAGCAATGGAAATCAATCTAAATTCCATAACGGGGCCCTTACGTCGTTACAAGAAAATACATCTGCAAGTTATTTTTCACGGTCTCACAATATTACGAAAAGAAGGTGGGAATATTTATTTTGGTTCTACATTCGGTTTGCTTCTCGATTCGTTGTTGCGCGCTTCGCTACGCTCACTCAGTTACTTAACTCGTTTATTTTCATGATCAACTCGTGGCACAGCGTTTACTTTTTATACACGTTTGTTTTTTTTCCATATCGTTTTTCATTTTTCGTTCATCTAATATATAGTAGGAAAGCATGAGTAACATGTCATTGCCACGCATTATGTTGAGTGAGAGTCAGCGAGCGCGATTCCTGATTGTGGTAAGAGTAAGCTCGAGCTTATGTACTACACAGCGTGATATGTGATAAGAAAAAAATTGTTATGTGCTCATCGTGAGATGAGCAACAAAAAAAAAAACAAAAAAGAGACCAAAATACGTCGTATGATGGCCCATGTTGGAAATAATCATTGTTGCACTTATGAACACAGAATCGTGGTTTTATTCGGTTCCTGTAAATATTTGTATAATTCGCGAAACTTAAGTTAAACAAAATCAAGATAATAATATATAATTTCAAATCGTTCGTTGATATTAAGTACATTTGATTCGTAGTCCGTATCAATGTTGTATAATTTATACAGACCGTGAATGCATCCTTTCGAGATGATTCAAGTCTTTTGAGATAGAAAACACAGATTACTTGTAAGATATCTTCATTTACGTTCGAAGAATTGAATTTTAAATTCAGTTTTTAGTATTTTTTAATATTTAACCATAATTTATAATTTATGATTTTTGGCTATATCTTAAGTGCATAGCAATATCATGGTAAAGAGCTTAGGATACGAGTCTGGACAATATACATTTTAATCCTGAAACTTTGAAGATTTTCTAATTGATTATTTTTTAATTTTCTATCTTGTTAAATTTTTCCACACCAACAGCAGATTTTTATGCTCAAATGATGAGCCCTTTACATTCATCCATCCTTTGCTCGGTACTCGTTACTATCGTATTTGTGGTATGATTTTTTCAAAGCTTTAACATTTTATTATTATATTTATTAAACAAGATCAACGTATGCGTACGTATTTTCTTTTCTTTATTTTAAGAACTTCAAATTGGGGAAAAAAAAAAAAAAGAATTATTGATTTTCAACGAGACAATACTTAGACGTACAGTTGTTGAAACACTGAGACCAAAAATTATATAAAACAGTAATGTACCGTAAGTGATTATGATAAGAAACATTAAAGAGAAAGATTATCGGTGATAAAAAATTTTCAATTCTCATTTGAGTCACTTTTTCGTATAATGTGCATTTTTTTCTTGAGCTCGCCCATAATACCAATAAAGAAAGAAAAAACCGCATTTTATTAACTGTTTGCTATTTNCGTACGCTCAAAGTAAGGGTATTTATTAAACAAAGTATTCTTAATCACATGTGATAAGTATAATATTTCTTCTATACGACATATCGCTACACGATCAGTTCACCGTGTAATCCATAGTATAACGTGTGCGAGCATTTTAACATGTAACATGATAATAACTCACGAGAGTAAATATATATTTTCGAGCAATACAAATAGAGCACATTTGAGTAGCAAATGAAAGAGAATATTTAATGGCACTCTTTATCGCATAACGTTGTAAGATAAATTGTGGCTTGGCCCGCTGTTGAAATTAAATAAAATAAACATTTACAATAAAATGATACAATCTAGTATAAAAAAAAAATTTATCTTTGACAAAAAAAAAGAAAATATATATATTGATGAAGTTATTGATTATTGCTGATCCAACCGCTGAGTTGCGACGCCGGATCACAGAGTTTAGGTACGTTTTGATGGTTCCATACAATAAGACTATACTTGACGTATGTCTTAACTTTTAATGTAATGTAGCAATAAATTAAAATTAACAAAAAACGCAAAAATCTAATCGCTAAGATTTAACAATGCTCAACAGACACACTTTCAAGTTAATATTTTTTAAATTTTCACAATGTATTTTTTGTTTTGATTAACTATTTATATTTAACATAGTAATTTTATAAACAAATTTTTATTAATTTTTTTTTCATAAACTTTGTGAACTAATGAAACATACTAAAAAAAATTTTAATGTTGAAACTATGGGGGACGTTTGTGAAACAATCACTAGATAGTGGCAAAATTATTTTTTGATGTATTATATACATATTAAAGCAATATACGGTTCATATTAACTAGGATTTTCTATAACGAAATATAAATTGTTAATGGTACCACGCGTTGAATGAGTTAATTACTGTAGAAGTAAAAATACAAAACATAAAAGTTTTTGGTTTCAAATGTAAAATTTAGTATTTTATTTATTTATATTTAATTTGATTTTCAACAGAGTCGGTCGATCGTGTAAAAATATATAAATTGTAATTGAAAGACATTTGTACAGTCTTACTATTTATTAAGAGTTACATAAGGATTATTTGTTCCTAACAAGTTCATTCAAATATATGCAAAACAAATGGCATTACGAAACATTTTTGTACGAAAATAATTGTTTAAAATTTATCAATATTTTTTAAAGTTGTTGATGACAGGAAATTTTTCATAAAGTAGATTGTTACAATAATGATAATAGTAGCCATCATTTTTTGAAAAACAATGGTTGTGCAATAAAAAATACTTTTTCGAGATGGATGGAAAAAACGAATCAATCAAGTTAGTGCGGGTCGAGTTTTATTCAAATTTTTTGTTAAAAATCTTTTATAATAAATGCATTTGTAAGTTAAACAATTATTTAGGGATGTCTATTGAACTAACTCATTTTTGAATATCAACAAAAGTAGAATCATTGTACATGTACCCTTTAAAGTGAACATTTAGTGCAATAAGTAAAAATTGAACTGCAAATTAAAAAACTTCCTCTTAATGAATATTTCGAAATTTAATGTTAATAAATTATGCCCTTGGTAAATGACATATTTCAGCGAAAAATCGGGGGTTCCCTTATTTTCACTTTATCGTGAGAAACTAAACAGTTATCAACAGTTCCCAACAAGAATCACTTGCGTTGGATTATTTATGAACATTAAAAACGCATTAATTAACCGTAATTTGCTCATCCAGTTTCATCCAATAAAGTTTTTTTTTTTTTTTTTTCCACTTAACGAGTTTGATGTACAGTATCGTCGATCGTAGAAATGACTTACATTTTTAGTACACAATAAACATAAATGAAATATTCTTCGAATACTTGTACAAAACGTACTTATTGAAATTGTTGCCGAAGCCTTTTATGATAAATATTTTAAAAAAATTCATTGTTATTCAAAGGAAACTACAGTTTATTAAAATGAAACATATGTATACACGTAAAAAAAAAATCATACCATTTTAAGAAAAAAAAAACATTTTGAAATACTGTACATATTGAAAAAAAGGGTTTGAACGAATTTGGGAAAAATTATTTTTATAACTCGAAAATGTGATCCATACTATTTTGAAATTTTGTAACTGTGATGAAAAAATTAAAAATTTTTTCATACTTGTTTTACTGGGTACTTATTTTATGATATTATTTTAAATTTATTAAAGATTCTGAGAAATTTATATACACAATATTCTGCTTGAGAAAAAAAATGTTTCTTCAGCAATACGTAAAACTATACTTTCAATAAAAGGAAACTGTTTTACATCGCAGAAATATAACAATAATTGATGTGTCTTTATTTTTAAAAAGGCATATTTTTGTAAGTGAGATTGTAAAAAAAAAGTTTTAACCATGTTAAAGTTGCTTCGAAGTTCTCTAATAAAAATATTCTTGTAATTCAAAAACTTGTTGTGAATTACATAGGTAGCAAAAAACACTGTAGTGTTTACGAAAACTAATAACGAATGTTGAAAATTATATGCAGTTACTAGTGACATATTTATAGATAAAAAAGTATGAAAAAAAAAACATAAAAATAAAATTTATGTATTTTCATCTTCAAAAAAAGGATTACGTTGTGAAAAGTGGGAGCACAATAGGTACATTATTTTTCTATACTGATTAATAATTTCTGTGGTTAACTAAATAATCAATGTGCCACATTGAAAATTACAGTTGCTCGTGTGTTGAAAAAATATTTAAAGATTATTTTGCCATTTTTAGCGACATTCACCTATTTTTAAAATTAAATTACAGTAAAAAATAAATAAGTTTTTTCGATCTCTGTCACTTACCGTATACACGTGCACTGTATATACATAAAAAAAGCAAACAAGCAAATGTATGTGGATTTAAAAAGTCTGACTGTGCATGTAAGATCTCCGTACACAAAACTATGTAATAAAAATTTAAATTTGAGTGCAAAAAACATTCGTTGTAAAAATTTATACTTTTTTGTTTACCAAAAATACATTTTTGGCCATCTCACAGATTTTTGACAAACTCTATTTTATTGCGAATAAAACATATTTTTCACACACGTCATAAATAATCTGAAGGTACGTAAAGTATTTTAAAAAGTATTAAAAAAATAAATAAAATAAAAAAATAAAAAGAAAACAAGCAAAAATAGTGTACTATCACACGATTTATTGTAATTTTTTTTTTTCAATTTTAGTTTGTCTTACGATGGTTTCGATACCAAATGTTGAGCTCGTATGTTTCCACTTATTCATATAGGCACGATTATTATGTATTATTAAACTATTATTATTTATGAATCGTCTTTTTGTGTACCTACACGGCGTATGTATCTCTGCGTACATAATATGTAGGTATACGTATATGTATGTACATAAATTTAATTATCATACAAGAGCACTAATGTATTAATACGTTATTGAATCGATTACGTCGAATCATAAGTGTGTAACTACGCAAAATTAACATATAATTGCATTGTATACTGTCACCTTGTAAATATATATATATATATATACCAGATTCCCACACACAAATTTGCGTTTTATTAAGCGAAAAAATTGATCCACCGCGCCGATTAATGAGCTATTTTTACGCGTACTTTATTGTAGGTACATGGATTACAAAGTGTGACAACACGCGTTTTCAAAGGCATCGATTTGAAAGTGCTACCACGATGATCCTCATTTCTCTTTCACGCCTTTCTTTTACTCGATACCCATGCGTATTTATATGTACTTTGTGTCTCTCGTTTCGTTGTACAAACGCAAATAAGGTGTACACTATACAGCGCCCATTAAGTGGATCACGATTTTTTTTACTTTCTTAAATACTTTCTTGATTTTTTTTTTCTTCTTCAATTTTTATCGAACGAGCGCGTCGACGGCACTTTCATATCTTTGGCTGCGAAAGGGGACGCAGACGCTGTTGCGCCACTTTCGTACGCTCAAAGTAAGGTGTTGACGCTCCTCGTCTTGTTTCCATTTTTTTTTCTTCTCGTTTGTACATGATTGTAGAAATTTTCTCTTTTTTTTTGTTTTTTTTTTTTTTTTGTTGTAAATGTTCTTACCGTGCGAAAAGTCGGGATAAAAGAGATTCATTTACGAAGTCCTTTCCTTTGACAATTTATTCACAAGGTCTGAATACTTGAAAAAACATTCGCCGTTCGATAAATGGATAAAAGCATTTTATTGGGATGAACATTGATTTTCATTCACATGATTCGCGCTATCCCTACTATAATTTTAATAACAATAAATAGCTTAAAAGGTAAATAAATAGACTACACGGTTAAAAAAAAAAAAAAGAAAGAAAGAAATTGTATGCGTTATAACGAAAATGGCTTATATTGTTTCATTCACGAGCCTTAATTAATATTAATCGATACACTTACGCGCTACACTTGGATAACTCGGGCTTTCACTGTAATCTGCGTACATGTTACTTTTTACAGCAGAAAAAAATCAGTCGCCGGGTTCGACGTCGACTCTAATACATTTTGAGAAAAACACAACAAATTACCATAAATTATCAGCGTAAAGCAGAAGAAAAAAAAAAAAAAAAAAAAAAAAGTACACAAGGGTAATCGACTCTGCACGCGGTTTTAACAGCTATATACGTAAACTCAAGTATCCAAAACACACACCGTCCGATCAGACGTCGAAGCCCCCGGTGCGTCGCTGCCGTTGCCGGGGCGGTTTGGCCGGGCCTCGGACCTTGACCTTGCGACGCGGTGTGTACCGCGGCGAGCGCGAGGTCACCCGAAACTCGAGCGGCAAATCGTAGCAGCGGCAGATGCAACAGCTCGGGAACTTGAACCAATCACTGAATATACCCCGGCACTCGTTGCTCGGGTCGTAAGCCAGTAGCCGGTGCAGCCTGTACTGCTGCTCGCACCTGCACCCGTCCCTGCAGTACATCTGTTTGTTCTCTTGACTGTATAAAGAAAGAAAAGAAAAAAAAAAAAACAGGTTTGTTTGTTGGTGAAAATAAATAAAAAAAAAAAAGAAAAGAACAACTCACGAGCATTTTTCCCAGTGAACGTACTGCTCGAAGGGATAGAGATTGAGGAGGGCGAGCATCTCGCCCCTCGTGTTGTTGGCCCAGAACGGCGCCACGACCTCCTCCATGACCGGACAGGCGTTTCTGCAACCGCATGTATGTAGCCGGATGGGAGGAAAAAAAAAAAAAAAAAAAAAAAGTACCATATAATATGTGCCGAACTCACATGCCCCGAACTTTCAAAACGAGCTCCTGCTGCTTGTCCTTGGACGCGACCTCCTGGTACAATTGTCCCTCCATCGAGGCGCTCGCGGTGGTGGTACTGGTGGGTCTGAACCCCGGCCTGGGCCTTGGCCGGAACTCCTGGTACTGCGACACACTGGCCTCCGCGGACTCCTCGACCACCTCGGCGCTTGACGACTCCTCCTCCTCCTCCCCTCCCCCACCGGGAACGGTCGACGTCCTAGTTGTCGTTTCCTCGAGCTCGTCCACGTTGTCGTCCAACCGGTCCACCTGCCCTGGCTGGCCGATCTCGTTCGTGCTGACGCTCTGGACGTTGGCTATCTGCTCGAGGCTCGCCACCAGGTTCGGCACCACCGTCCCGTCGCCCGGCACACCCGGCGTCGTACTCCATGGCTCGACGCTCGGGGACGCTTTCACCGTCGTCGTCTCGGCACTGGAGTTGCTCGTACTCGAGTTCTGCGGCCCCTGCGACGTCGAGCCAACGTCTTCGCTACTCGCCGATGTGGTTGCAATCGTATCTGCAGGGGTGGCGGTCGAGGTCGCGTACCCAGCGATCGGCGTCTCGTTCGGGTGGGAGTTCCGGGTTGGCGCGAGTTTGCTCGAGGTGCCGGTGTTGAGCGATCGGCCGTACCTGTCCTCGTTCCGGGGCGCCACGTGGTTGTAGTCCACCTCGGACGGGAACTGCCTGTAAAGCAGACTATGGGTATACAAGCGCGTGATTGGCCGATTTCTTTTTTCATTGTTTTAAAATTTTTACTAAGGGGAGATCGGTTGGAGCGCGTACTTTGGGTCGTCGTAGTAGAAGCGAATCGGTTCGTTCTCGAACTCCAGCTCGACGTCGTTCCTCTCGAACTCGGTTTTAATGACGCTTATGTGCTTCTCGTCGCCGTACATGCGCCTCATCAAGCCCTGGTTCTCCTGCACGAATCTCCGCACCGCTTGCCTATGGACACACACGCGCGACGTTATACATAACATTGACCACTTAGTGATAACATTGCGCGTATGGGTGTACTCACCACGGGTAAGCGTTGCCGGCGATGGCGCACCAATTTTCCCGGCTGAAGTCGCAGGGCAGGTCGAGGCGGGCGCGCGCCGTGCGCGAGGACGGTTTACTGCACGACGAGGAGGCGTCGTAGCCGAAGGTGCTCGGGCCGCCCTCGATAAGGACTGCGCTGCCGCAGTTGGCCCAAAGAACCGCCAAACTCGCAACCTAAGCGATATATTTTACTGGGTACTTAAGGATATACACGGCAGTGCGATTGGTTGTTTAAAACGTTGTGGGTGTAGGTCTTTCGAATTTAATCGAAAATAGAGAGAGAGAGAGAGAGGTTCAATGTTTCAAAATGCATCGAAATTTCTGATTTTCAAGTGATAATTCAACTGGTACAGCGACCATGTCATAAGGTTTGAGGTGGAAAACAAAAAGGTACAGATTTTGCCCATCAACAAAAACGCGTGACAATCGACATTTACGATTTTAAAACATTTTTGTTTAAAAAATTCGTTATCACGAACCGGAATTGGTGAAATACATATAAAGGTTTTCTACGACAACGTAAGTTAAATAAACGCCATCGTATCTTTACAAAAAAATATTCAACTGCGTTACATGCGTTTACTCTTCGAATGGAATATGTATACACATCAATTGTCTGGATAAAACGTGATGATGGTTTTAAATGGTTATTGAATACACCAACGAATCTCTACTCGCAAAGTTTTTACGTGTAAAAAAATGGTATGTCAAAGTGAGGTTTTTGATTTAAAACTGTATTTATAATCATCGATTGAAAAACATTACATTTTAATTCAAGGTAATTGTTTTTCCGTGCAATGTCGTCGCAAGATGTAAATCAGAGTCAACAGTTGGAAATGTGGGACAGCCCGAAAAGGATTTCGCGCCGAGCGGAACACTTTCACCTACGAAAAAAGAAAAGAAAAAAAAAAAACCCTGTCCACGCGATCCTAACTGTTCACACGCAGGTATTCTCTTATTTTCATTTTCACTCCGTAAACGCGCGTGTGTATATTGTAATATGCACGTTTGATTAATCGCTAAAAGCACACGACACACACCTATACCTGTAAATGTAAATAAAAGGGGAAAAAATCTCATCCGATCGAAGATCCAAGCACGGGGGGGGAAAAAAAGGGAAACCAAAAAAAAGTGAATCCACCGTGCGCTGTATATACTTAATATAATCGAGTGCAGCATGTAATATCGTGTGCAAAAGCTAATGGACCGCGCGCGCGCGTGCTCCGATAAAAATCGAAAAGCTTTCACGAGAGAGTGACCGTTAAGGTAATCGCAAGAGACTAGGTTTCGTATATAAAGTACAACAGGTATATATATATATATATATATATATATATATATTTATTTATACGGTTCGTCATCTCAAATGCACATAATAATGTGTGTACGGCAGATGATGATGATGATGATAATGATGATGGGGCGCATTTTTGTACACCACGCGCTGAAAGTTACAACGCTCGGGTGTAAGTACGTGTATACCGTTACACCGGTTTCTCCGATCTCTCTCTCTCTTTTTTTTTTTTTTTTTTTTTAAAAAAGTTCCACTTTGCAAACATTTATTCAAGCCAAATAAAGAAAGAAAGAAAGAATCCCACTTTTTTTTTTTTTTTTTTTTTCTCTCTCTTGATGATATTACGCGCCTATATTACAACCACCGGCGCCGCCAAAGCCGCTTTCGTCGACCTCCTCCGTTATCACCTCCCTGAATTCATATGCATAGTCCTGTACATTAACAATACTCTTTTTCTCTCGATTCTAATGTATACCCATATGTGTGTAAATGTTGGTACTTTTGCGTTGACACTCGAGCTCTTAAAAACTTTATACAGTCCTTACTACGATATCGTTTTGAAAATACTTGGTTCACGTTTTCTGTTGCCCGTACAAGTGCTTACATTAAAACATGTTGTAGGCATGTACAGGGGGTTTATTTTGGAGTTGATGGAATCAAGCAAAAAAGGAGTAAGGCGGTATAGATAAAAAACGATGAAAAATATTTTTTTTCAATCTTAATATGTGGAATGAAATCGTAACGACTTATGTATAGTCAAAGATAATCCACGGAATCGTTATCTTTAGTTTTTTCTTTCAAACTGCAATTTTCCAGAAAAAAAGATCTGTTGTAATTTGTTTTTTCAATCTATTATACAGAAATGAATATGAATCTGTGGTTGGGAGTAATATTAAATTATCATGCACTAAAAGAGCGGCTAAATCGGTAAGATCGCGAGGGAAAAAACAGCTCGAGATCGGTATGGCTGAGCTGCTTCCTATTTGGTTAAAATGATTCTCACTGTACAACCTCGTAAAAAATTTCGCCGTTTGTCCAAATGTACAAAAAACATTTAGAATCATTAAAAAAATACATGACGTTGACAGCCATGTGACTTTGACATCACAGAATCGATAGGGGTATGGTTTGGGGATCTGAAATCTCGAAGACTAGTAAACAACGGCGTTAACGATCCATCACTAATAAAATCGACATTTATCGAGTTGACCCCTACCTCCTTAAACTAAAAGTTAAACTTTGATGCGCTCGCGTCACCGATTTTATCGCTACAATTTTCACTTGACCGATCACCGATGAACTGAACAATGTGTGAAGTAACTTCAGTCATCGGGACATGATCGTACGAAATGTCGAACATCTAAAATACCATATAAGATGCATACTGTACCTTGCACTGTGTTTTTTGTACAACCATTTGAGCAAAGAAAAAAAAAAAACAAAACCCCCCCATGGAAAATACAACAATCGCAACCAATAAGAAAAAAATTACCAGTGAAAAAGCAAGGCCGTTCGCGCGGCCCATCCTGCGACGACCGGCGCGATTTCTCGCTCGACGCTCCCCCGCAGGTATAACTCCTCGAAAGCCACCCCCTAAACTTGAGAGGAAAAAAAAAAAAACAACAAAAACAATTGACACCGCGTTTGCTCCAGTGGAGAAATACGTGAAATTTACGCACAAATGACGCGAGCAGAAAGACGCGCGTCCGTCGGTCGACTAACCGAGGATGGAGGAAGAGGATCATTCTCGAGCCCAAGAGAGAGCGGCCGATTTCACTGCGACGCGAAAACATATATACATACCAGGTGTATCCATCGGGCGCGTGTCGATATCGCGTGTATAGAGCGTATGTACCTACCTTGCGGCTCTCTTTCCTCCGAGATTTTTTCCACGCTCCTTTCCGTACAGGCATACACACACACACACCCGTGGTCCTTTGCCTCGGAAAATGAAAGATTCGCGGCCGGCGCGACACGACAAAAGGAGACGCGCTTTCGTTAAACGATCGGCGTGCAAAAGGAGGAAGTACAAAAGTAATGTCCCCCGGTGTACAAGTGTGTATTAGTAGCAAAATATAGGCATAGTGCGTATTGGTCGGGTGCAGGGGTACATATAGTAGGTCAGTCGGTTGGGTATACCGTTATAGCCGCGCGGGCCTGGAAACTGGGTCATCGGGGCCTGACGCCTCTCGGCCCTCCCTCCTGCCCATCTGTCTCTCTCTCTCTCTCTCTCTTGACACTCGCGGTGCGTGCAACAGCTGCACGAGACTATAATATGTATAGGCACGTGTGTTGACTCTCTATTGACATCTTTTTAATTTTTTTCAAGGAGGGACGTTTTTTCTCTCTTGGTTTTCTGATTTCAAAATGTTGATTATACGCTGGTACAAGTGTGCCGGGCTGGGCTATCTTTAGATGAGCGCGACAGAAGAAGGGGGTGAGGGAAGGAAAAAAAGAAAAAAAAAAAAAAAAAAAAGAGTTGCGACGAGTGCGTTTTTTGTGTCGGATATGACATAATTAATAGGGGGGTTTCTCGAAAAAGCACTTTTTCCTGTGTATGTATGTATGTTACAACTCAATGTACGCAACAACTGCTTATATATATATCCATGAATGAATCCAGATTTTCTTCGCGCGATCTAAGTCATTATGACCACTTTAATACAAATACATTTATGTATTTTGTTATTGATTTTATAAAATTATGCTTCCAATTCTTCGCTCGTTTTTTCGTTTTCCCAAACTTACATACTATATATCTGCTATTTTACGTGAATACACCTTTTTAATAAAAACATATTTTCTTGTATAATTGGGACCATCATCAAAGTGTAAAATGTGCAATTATATACGTACGACTGTTTTTGTCTATAGGTAATTCGTTTAAAAGGACAAACAAGTAAAATAACTGTAGCATCACTCGAGATCTTCTTTATTTCAAATATTATTGAGGAATCAGTGCAGTTTATTTTGTTAAAAAACCGTCAAACTAGCCACATGATTTGTATCGTCACCAATGACGCAACGCATAAAAAGGCTTCAGTTACGTGACAATAATTTTTAGATGAAAGGTGAAGAGAACCATTTAGTACCTTTTTGGTTCAAAATTAGTAGATAAAAAAAAAAACTGATTAAAGTTTGGAATACGTAACGGCTATTTATTTCGGGTTTTGTTGAAAATGGTGTTTTGACGAATAATGTCTTTTGTTTGGAGCGACCATGTCATAAGGTTTGAGGTGGAAAACAAAAAGGTACAGATTTTGCCCATCAACAAAAACGCGTGACAATCGACATTTACGATTTTAAAACATTTTTGTTTAAAAAATTCGTTATCACGAACCGGAATTGGTGAAATACATATAAAGGTTTTCTACGACAACGTAAGTTAAATAAACGCCATCGTATCTTTACAAAAAAATATTCAACTGCGTTACATGCGTTTACTCTTCGAATGGAATATGTATACACATCAATTGTCNAATAAAAACTGTAGCTTACTTTTTCTTATTACCAAATTTTTATTACAAAATCAATTGGTTCATTATATATATATATCACTGTATTATTTAATAAGAACATGATTTATCTTTTTTAGTATTCGTGTAGTGAGAAAAATTAGTTGGATCCAAAAGGTGTGATGTCACATTGTGAGGTTTGGAATTTAAAATGCGTTCAAAATTTTCCCGCGCAATTGTCCTTCTGGTCCTCATTCCATTCAGTCCGCCCATATATTTTCATTCCGCCCGTTTCTCTCTCGATATCAGCTGTTTTCAGAGTTGTCTGCAGTGTTGTTTTCTATCTTGACGTTTGTTTACATTTTTTGTTGTTACAAACTGACTGACGGTATTGACTATCCACAATTAATACATACATATTAATATTTATTACAAGTATAGACAATACTGCAGTTTTCACTAAAAAGGACTGCAACAAGGTAACGCGTACGTGTACTTATTAATACTAATATGTAAAATTAAAAAAGGGTTTTGGTTTTTGCCTGAAACTGATATTATGTATTTTCAATACCGTGCCACAGATTAAATATGTCAAAGGACGTGGTGCTCAACTACCAAGACTGCATCCTTCGTCAATCCGATGTTGATCTGCTCAAGGGACCTTGTTGGCTCAACGACGCGATAATTGGGTTTTACTTCGAGTACCTTGGAAAACAGCACGAGAATGTGAGCCTCAAGTTCTTGTTTGTCTGTCCGGAGCTTGCTCAGCTGTTGAAGCTCACAGATCCTCACGAGTACCCGATTTTCTTGGATCCCATTGAGGCCAAGGACAAGCCATTTGTGTTCTTTCCCATCAACGATTGCAACAGCAGAAGCTCGTCGGGTGGCTCCCATTGGAGTCTCATGGTTTTTTCAAAAAAGGAGAGAGCATGCTTTTATTTTGACTCGTCCAACAGCATGAATTCAGCTGTGGCGAGGGACTTTTCGAGGAAAGTTATGGATTACTTGTTGGACGGTGGCAAGGGACAATTCATCGAGGTTGACTGTCCACAGCAGGACAACGGATATGATTGTGGTTTGTTTGTACTTTGTTTTGCGGATGTTATTGCTGAGCACGTTTTGAGAACTGGCAAAGTGGATAGTTGTAATTATGACAGGGTGAAAAGTTTTGTGCACACAAAAAGAAGGGCTCTACTTGCGTTGATCGAAAAGCTCAAGGGCAACCATGAAAATTAGTCAAATGGCGTACATAGTATTTATTTATATGTAGCAACTGAGTTTTATTCAGTCTCTCATCTATTTTTGCACAATCGACAAATGAAATTTAAATTACATTATCTCTAGCTGTGATAACACTATTTAGATCAGATCGCTGACAATGGTAGAACATGTCGTTGAAGAAAGTTTTATCCTACTACGACTTACAGGTTAAACTAGTAAGTGACAGATATATTTTTGTAAAAAAATTTTTAAAATTAAATCATGTAATGAACGTGTCATTATCTTCTTTTCTTACCCAGCCTAAATTTATTTAGCTATCTATTTTTAAAATCGATTGCGTCCTTCAAACGATTATCGCTATGCGCGTGCATTGCGGCTAAATGATGGTAAGTCTGGTAACTGTTGAAGAACAAACATTATTTTTTCAAGTTTTAAAATTTCAAAATTAGAAAAATGTTGCAAGTTTGGTCTAAAAATCATTTCATCAAACTATTTCATAATTATTCATGGAAAAATTTATTCGTATCATTATCATTTTTCAAAAAAAAATACAAATCCTCTACAAGAAGTATGATCTGGAAAAAAACTTTGATACAAAAATAATGTAAAGATTATATAATCGGTTAGTGTTATATAAGAAAACGTAAACGCTTCTAGGATGGACCAAATTTAAATAATGTAAACGTTTCGTAGGTATTTATAGCAATAAGATGAATAAAAATGAAAAGTACACACGAATAATATTAATTTAAGCAAAAAAATGAACTATTTTTCAAAATAACTTGGAGATTTGAGGTATCAGTATAGATGATATAACATTGCCGAAAATGTAAATGCAGCAAACATGTTTATCTTTGGCTTTATTCAAAGTCTCTTGTCGAGTATTTACGTTTGGTTTCCGTATTTTATCATGTCTGATTAGTTTAACTTGAAAACACTTGTGTTTAATATAATAAAAATCGAGTTTTTTTAACACTAATAAAAAAACTGCTAATGAAATTCTAAAATCGCAGTGAGATCCAACGCGAAACACATTTCACTTTTAAAATATTTAAAATTTCGAATAAGGAACAAAACGATCGGCATACTTCACCAAAGATTCTTAATTAACAATATCATCTTTTGACCTTAAAACAAAAGAAAAATGTGTATGATCAGCACATTTATGATGTGCTTGATTAAAGTAGTTGAATGGAAACAACTACAACTTATTGTAGTTCGGGTCTTAACCCGAACAGCCAAAAACGATTTGATATTTAACGCATATATGTAACTGATAAAACTTTCAAGTATTTAACAGCCGATACTTATATTTGTACCAACTCTGAGTTTTTACACACATAAATCGTATATTCGTACATACGTCAAACTGAGGAACAAATTTCTCGGGAGTGTCTGCCATTCCGTATGAATCGTTTCAGACATTAAACGTGTGTATTGTGCACAATCGAAGAAAAAACATACCATGAAGACGTGCATCGTATTTTTGTCAATACTCGTGGCAACGAGATTATTGTCGGTGTGCAGTGGCTACAGAATACTAGGAGTTTTCCCAGTCAACGCAAAAAGTCACAATATCGTGTTCGAGGCATTGATGAAGGGTTTGGCGCGACGTGGGCATCGCGTCGACGTGATAACGCACTTTCCGCTGCAAAAGCCCGTGAAAAATTACCACGAGATCGTCAATCTCGATGGGTCGATGGAAAGGCTGGTGAACAATTATTCCATGAAGTTCGTGAAAGAAATATCTCTCGTGGATCCCGTGGAAAATATGGTGATGCTGTATGGGAATCGAATTTGCGATTTCATGGGTTTCGATGAGATGCAACAATTAATCAATAACCCACCGACAAATCCACCCTATGATGTCGTCATTGTCGAGGTCAGTGCTTGTTTTTATTGATGTTTTGGACTTTTGCGAATGGATTTCTTCGTTTCTTTCGTCCGTTGAGTAATTTTTATGTTTAAAGCATTAAATTAATAGTACGAAGGAAAAAAAAATATTAAAATCACTATTAATAATACAATATCAAAAAAACATTTTTTTTTCTGGCAGATGAGTGCAATACATTTCCGATTGAAAAGTTTATTGTGAATTGTATATTTTAAGAGGTGGCTCCATGTTAATCGACTGTTTAAATTGTACAGGCCTCGCAAATACTTTATTCGACTAGAAAATGATCATAGAATAAATTTTTTTCAAAAACTGATATTGAATTTCGCATGGCTATGGAAATATTGTACTAAAAAATAAAAAATAAAATTGCCCGTACCGTTTAGTAAATATTGCAGTTTTAATAATATACTTTTCCATACGTTATCAGTATATCTATGAAATAGCAAAAATGAATACCATATTAAATTTTTCGTTGTTTCATGCGATCGTTGTGATTGTGTGTATTTACAAGTAATGTAATTACAAATGACTATATTAAATCGTTGTTATCGTAAAATCAGTTATTAATATCGGTGGGTTTAGGATAAAAAAATTTTTTTCAACATAAATAATGCATTACGTATTTCTAGCAGCGCATTTCATCTTAAAAAAAAAATGTTCAAAATCCACCAACAAACAATCCTCCCACAGGCGTTCATGGCAAATTGTTACTTCGGGCTCGGCCACGTCCTCAAAGTTCCCGTGGTCGCTGTATGCTCGAGCGGCGCCTATCCATGGCTGGTCGAGTCCTCCGGCAACGACGACAACCCCAACGTCGTCCCGAGCGTTTTCCTGTCCCACGGCGCCGGGCCCACCATGACCCTCTGGGAGCGCGTGAAAAACTTCGTCAGCAATCGCAGAGACACGAGCAAGTTTCACGCTCTCACGGGCGACTATCAAACCAAAGCCATGAGAAAGTACCTGGGCCCAGACGTACCCGACATTCGGGAGATGGAAAAGAGCGTGGCTCTGACCCTTGTCAACGATCACCCGGTCATCTTCGGCGTCAAACCGGTACTGCCCACTTGGGTGCACATTGCCGGACTCCACATCGAGGAAAACGACGAGCACCTCACCCCGGTACGTACAATTTTTTATAGTATAACGTGTACATATAAAATATATGGTACTAAAAATCAAAACTTTGTTCCATGTATGTATACCTACACCCAGGAGTTGAAACGGTGGTTGGACGATAGCGTGCACGGGGTTGTTTACTTGTCGTTTGGGTCGATGGTGCTGGTAGAGTCGTTGCCGAAGGAACAATTGGAGGAGATTTACGCGGCTTTCGCCAAAATCGCGCCAATGCGGGTATTGATGAAAGTCGTGGATGAATCGGTATTGCCGGCCGGTCTGCCGGATAACGTTGTGACGATGCCGTGGATTCCGCAGATACCGCTACTAGGTATATACATATATATAATTACATACATGTATACAATTATCTTTTGTTCGAAATGACGACCATATACCTTAAAAATCAATTCAAGCCCACAAAAACGTGAAAGTCTTCATAACTCATTGCGGACTCGGGGGAATACTGGAGGCACTGTACTACGGAGTTCCTATGATCGGTGTGCCGCTGTTTGCCGATCAGTTCCGCAATTGCCGGGCGTTCGCTGAAAAAGAAACGCTGATTCAAATAAATTTTAAAGAACTGTCCGACAAAGTTCTTAACTCGGCCCTCGAAAGGATCACTCGTGATCATTCCAGTTACAAGTAATTATATGATGATTAATTGAAATTATTATAATATATGGTGAGTTTAATTTACCACTTTGTCGTTAATTTTGTTACTTTTGTCGTTTATAGGGAAAAAGCTGTGCATTATTCGAAAATATTCAAGGACCAACCGATTAGCCCGATGAACAGTGCCGTTTTCTGGATAGAATACGTCATCAGGAATGGCCAAGCTCTTAGGCCCCCGACGCTTGATTACACTTGGTGGCAATTGGCTGGGCTCGATGTTCATCTGATTATACTATTTGCATTTGTTTTGAGCTCGGCCATGATTTTTATGAGCGTCAAATTGATGGTTAAAACTATTTCAAAACTAATTATCAGAAACTTTTACGGTACCGATAAGGTGACGAAAAAAAGTCAATGAAACGTATATTTATCACGGTGTACCATAAAATAGAAAAGAAAAACTTGCAAAAGAAACTATAAGTTACAATCAGCTTGATTTTGTTAGTTGATATAGTTTGTGCACATGTTTTTAAGAATATTTTTAAAGTGTAAATTCATATATACACGTATATGAAACAGTTTAGGAAAGAAAAGTTACATCTTAAATCGTAAAAATATAGAATACGTTAGAAAATACACTGCTGTATGAAATAATTTAAAAAATGATATTGGTCGGATATCTATATCCAGGAAAAATTTTTCATTTCACCATTTTGGTCTTATGTATGTGAGTTTAGTTTCCCTTAGTAATAATAAACAATGCCTCACATAATTGTTCAGTTTTATTCGATTCAGAAAGATCTAAAAAAAAAAAAAAGAGCAAAATTTATTTGATTAATTATTTCAAGTCAAAACTTTGTGAAATACTTTTAAAAATTAAAAATTTTCCCTGTATGTGAAACACTAGGGGAAAATATACCGGACAATTGTACTCTAGGTTGACAAGCACTAAAATTGTTTTTAGCGTTTTCATTCATGTAACTTGGCAAAAATGATGCAAACGAACGATCCAAGTATATACTAAATTATCTCTCATGATTGAAAAATCTTTTGGAGCTGAGATATTAAAAACTTTTGAGATTCTTACCGCAAAAGGAAGATTTTCTTAATTAAGAGAGAAAGACAAAATCCAACCAATAAGTTTTACAATCTCTGGCGCGTTTGTCGGCGTTTTCCAAATTTATTTATTGGTACTCTCTCGCTGTAGGTTCGCAAAAATGTATAAGTATATCCTTCAGCAAACGGTTATTCATGGGTTCACTGTTGTTTTTGGCAATTTGGCCAGTCCGAAAGGTAGAGGGCGAAGGACTGACCATTGATATTCAGTGTGATTCCACTAGGTACTTACTGACCAAACTCGTACGGAAACATTAAATCTACACGTCTTCCATTGGCGGATTGGCTGCTCAAAAAAGTCCGTATATTCAAAAATCCCCGTGCGCTTACGTTCCCGCGCACGTGATGGCGTCACCACTCCATCGCTCAAAATTTTATTCGCATGCAAGAACAGAGTAAGAGCGATTTTTCGCTGAGGTTCTTGGCGGTCTCGATTTCAATCCAACGCCAAAAACGTTGTTTTCGCTATTATACAAGTACTCACCTTTTAAATAAAAATGAGTGATGATCAGGTATGTAGGAAGTCATTAAAATTAGTTTTTGACAGAATTATAACCTTCATTAACCGTGTACGCACGACATTGTTTACTAATTATGAATTTGACATTTTAGGCAAACACAGTTTACAATTGCGGATTGTGTAGTGTAGAATTTACAGTCAATGAGATCCAAAAGCACAAGTGCTTCAATGGATCGTCAAACTTTGTTGTTATGGCTGACAACAAAGTTTATCCACATGTGGGAAGAAAAACAATGGGTATGTTTAAATTTGTGTGTTACTGTCTGTATCCAAGTATAAAGTAGCGTATAAGAAATGTTTATAACAATTTACAGAAGAGATGTTGATAGCAACAGTCAAAAAACGTCCACAGATATGGAATTACAAAGAGTACAGCTCAACTGAACGATCTGCAATTGTAAGGAGTCAACTGTGGAATGAAATAGCGGCTATTATGAACGCTAATAATAACAATCGTATGTACTCAATTCATTGGAAGTTTAATTGGACTAATTTATACCTGCGGGTTTATATACAAACGTATTATACATTTATCAACTAATTTTAGCATTAGATGGTACAAAACTTATAAAAGTGACAAAATAAGTGAACTATTAATTGTGCTTTTTTTAGAATATACAATATCTTTTCTTAAGACCAAGTGGAAAAACTTATGTGACACGTATAGAGTATATTTGACAAGGGAAAAAATGAGCAGTGATCAGGGCAAAAAATGCAAACCTTGGAAGTATATGAAGCAAATGAATTTTGTCAAGAATATAGTTGATACCAGTGAGCGAAAGTATGTTTGAAAATATATACTCGTAATATCAGCATTACATTATATATGTATATATTGTATTAAATAATTTTAGAATAACTTTTAACACATCGATGCAGCCAGCAACAAAAGAAACTGCGATGACTGTGAACAGCAATGATTCAGATGTAGAAATGTGTGAGAGTAATGACAACACAGAAATTCTGCAGAATGAAACTGTAAATAAGATTCTCCAGTCTCTCAGTAAGCCAATACCTGCACCACAATTGATTTTACCTCCGCCTCCTCCACTTCCAGAAAAAGATGAAATCGACTGTTTTTGTTTGATGATAGAAAAAAAGTTGCGAAAATTATCACCAGAACTTATCGACAAAGTAATGTTTCAAATTCATGAAATTCTATTCCGATTTGAGCATGAAAAAAAAACAGAAAAAAGTTTCGAAAGCTAGTCACGTTGATATTTTTTAATTAGTATTTAAGTTGAATGACATAATTTTATTTCCAACGGTAAGTTTCCTTTTCATAATATGTGCAGCTTTGTAAGTAAATTGTTTCAAATTTGTCAGTAAAATAAAAATGCAACTTATTTGTAAAAATTATGAATACAACGTTTACTTTGCTCTTTTTACATACGAATTTTTTATATATAACTCGTGGTATATGATTAAATAATTATTCATCACTGTAATGCATTACAATTGTGTTCCAAATGTTGTAAGGCATTTTATATTTTTTTGCAATAAATATAGTCTTTTATTTTTAACCTCTAGTCAATGTTTCATTACTGTTAAAGTAATGAAGGTATGAATCGCGTATTTGTATTGCTTTTCGAGAACCCACGTTACTCCCAACACAACTGATATCTTTAAAAGCCCCTGAGCGCTCAGAAGATTTTCTACACGAGCCAGCCACAAAGACATCACCAACTTTTTGATCAACGAGTTCGGTAGTCATGTAACGTACGCAGCTATTTCCACTCAAGTCACTTAATCGTAACCAATTGTGAAGACACACACACGCTTGCACTATTTTCATTGTTTTATCAACATCCATGTTGATGGTTTTACTAAATATTTGCCAACGGCTAGATAAAATTCCAAGGCAAGTTTCAATGGTCTTCTGAGCACGAATTAAACGACAATTAAAATTAAGTCTTGAAACCTCAATACAATCTTTTTGAGGATATGGTCTGAGCAAATATGTTTTCAGTGGAAAAGCTTCGTCTCCAACAAGAACGTATGGAAAATTTTCTGTATCATTTTCATTCAGTGGTGATGGTTTAGGTAAGTTCATGTCATTATTTTCGAATGCACAACCGATTTGACTTGCTCTGAATATTTCTCCATTGCATCCATAGGTACCCATATCGACGAAAGTAAAAATAAAATTGGCATCACAAATGGCTAAAAGAACAATGCTATTGCGTTCATTAGACTTCTGCTTGGATGGGCTTTCATTGGATGAAGGCTAAAAAAAAATATTTAAACAGTATGTTTTTTTTTTCTTTTTTTTTTTTATTAATGAAATTTATATTTTGACCAATACCTGCATCACGATATGTACGGCATCAATTGCACCTATGCAATGCGGAAAATCCCATTTTTCCTCAAATTCTTGTGCCATTTTCAACCACCTGTTTTTACTCAAGTCTGAAGGCATCACATTCAAGACAAGCTGGTTCCAAATAGCCTTGCATGCTGTAGAAATGATGTTTTCAATTGTTTCACAGTCTATTGAGTACTGACAAGACACGGTATAAATACTATCTCCTGCAGCCAAGAATCTTAAAAAAAAAAAAAAATTTTTTTAATTCACTATTTAAATCTTAAAATAATTAAACATACTTCAATGTTAACAGCAAGCCCTGAGCAACGCCGATGGATTTTTTGAAGCAATTATTCTTCTGCATTTCTGGCCCAGTCAGAGAAACCAAGTTCTCAAGTTGCGTTGCTGACATTCTAATGTAACTGTGAAAGCTCAAATCCTCTAGAACTTTTTTAGGTACATTCATCTGTACACTTGAAGGTTTATTCGCATAGCTTGTGTCAAAATCGATTGTTTCTTTTATTGTTTCATTCACACACTTTTTTTGCTTCTTAATACACAAAGTAAGGGCTTCTGTTGCAGCAGCTAACCGTTTCTTTCGAATTTTTTCCACTTGATTATGATATATTAGCATACAATCAGCTAACCATTGGTTACAAGCATCACGATATTCTTTGTCCCTATCCATTCTTTCAATTTGTCGACAGTTATCACACTTTAATTCTCGTTGAAATACACTTATCAAGCTAAGTTAACACTTTAGCTCCTAAAAAGTGTACGTGACATTAACACACGATTACACCCTCTTGTGCTTAAATTTTCATAGTTTAATGATCGTTCATTCGTTAAATCAAACTCTTATTTTATACTGTTCACAAACTGTTAATTAGTTTGTCGTTTTTGTCAATAACTTATTTGGTACGCGTCCATTCAATCACCAAACCAAAATAATTTAATCTTTGAAGGGGGGATACGGATACCTAGCGCGACGCATGTTAAATACGGACCGACGACCGACAACCGACAACATGTGTTGTAAATATCAACAAAGCAACTTAACCTCAACAACGAAAAACTGACACTGACACTACCAATATGATGTACTAATAGTGTAATTGCTAAATAAACACACTTTTTACAATTAAACCCTCTGCAATAAATAGTTGTCCTGTTTCACTGAAGTTTTCTTAATAAAACTATTACTTATTTTAAGTTATTTTTCAAAAGCGCGCTATTACCAACAACCTTAAATGTTAAACCTAGGATTTCGAACTTCGAACTTCCGAGTAATCTCACGCCATGGACTCGTGAAAATTAACTGATTAACATAACGTGCCCACCGTGAACGCACCAAATAGAAAGTCTAAAAGTTTTTTTTTATCATGTCTATACATAAACATTAATGTCGATGAAACACTTTAAACAATAGAATTCATCTTATCTTGGTTTATATACCTACCTCATTACAAAAGGGATTAGAAAAGAGCAGCTGTTCTGTCAGATTTGCGGAAGAAGAAACAATGCAGTAGTTGGTACATCGTATTCTATTTTATTTTTAACCTTTTTGTGAGCCCCAACCAATTTTATGTTTTGTATAAAACGGTCTTTAAATTTTAGGTATGTACTGTTACAATCAACTAAACATTTTGTAGACCGTTAATTGTGTTTCAGGTGGACGTCGAGTGTAATGCAAACAGATTTTGTCACATAATTTGTTTAAGTTGTAAAACGTTTTTTTTTTTTTTTTTTCTCTCTTCAAAAGTTTCCATTAACTCAGGTAATTAGTGCACAGAAACTTGAAATTCCAATTTTTATTCACTTTGATAAAATGTTTATTAAACAAGTACAAGTAATTCGTTTGTCAATACAGCGAAAAAAAATATAATTTCATTTTCATAGCAAAGGAAAGTACAAATATAATAAACACTTGCAGTGACTAATGGATTTGATGCAGCATCTAATTTTTCACGGCCACTTGAAAACCAGACCTCTATGATAGTTTACACTTGAAGAGAGAACGTCGATGCAACGAGAATGGAATACACATGTACGAAGCGATTTAGCGCGTCGTCGATCACACACAAGCGATTAATATTAACAGCAAAAAAAAATTGTCGGTATACTTAGTCATAGCTGTGTTTTAAATTATATATGACACACATATAACTCAACCGACGCATGAACAAAGTTTTTTTTCGTTTTAGCGCAGCTGCTGGCCGGAGCTGTGAAGGTTGCAGAAGGAGAGAGAGAAAGAGAATTTCAGCCAAGCAGCGAACGAACAATTCGCATCCGTGTTTGTTGCTAGTCTGTGTACAAACATCGCGCGTGGAGAGACATATTAATTAAAATAGAAAAAAATATCGACTGGTTGACGTCGTTGTCACCATCGTTGTACATGTTTATTACAAAAACGACTGTTTATTGAATTATGGAGTTGAATTTGTGTGCCTGCCTGCAGTAATACACGTCTATTAAGCAGTTAAGTGCAAAAGAAGTGGATTATCGAGCAAAAGCCATTGCCAAGTACCAGTAACTAACCATGCAACTGATGCAACCAGCATAACTTATCATTTGGTTTTTACTTATATTATCTACCTATATATATCTACATGTAGTTAAAACTAACAGATAATAATGCCAATGAACAGGCAGAATTTATTTGATCATATCCCTCCTCTTTTCCACCCACTCTTCAAAATTGAGGGTTGAGAGGGGCCTCAACTCAAGACTTACACTTTAGCACTTGCTACAGTCATTGTATCAACAAATAAATTAATCAACTCTTACTGGATATATTAAAAAAAAAAAAAAAAAAAAAAAAAAAAAAAACAGCCAGTGTTGAAACTTTGCTAATTTAGTAGAGAGAAGAAATCCAAAAGGGAAAGAGAAGACTACTTCCAGGAAAAGCGTTAGGTGTACGTGTGTCCTTACTCGTTGACCTCGTCGTACTTGCACGTGTTGAGTGATCCATACATCTAAAAAAAAAAAGCAAACAGATAAACAAGACATTCACGTCGTGTCGTTGTGAACCCTGGAGAAGATGGCACATATGTAATTGTTGTGATTGTATCTCATTGCACGTGTGTTGGTCTGTGTAAACCCATAATCATCGGCATTATCAGTAATAGAATTAGTGCAACAACAACGCAGTATAAGCCTGCAAGACGATCAAGCTTTATATGTACATACGACGAAAACAATCAGTGTGCAGCTGTCTCTTTCTTTCAATCTACTCTTCAAGAGCAACGTCGACGTCGACGTGTACTCACAACACACCACCAGCTATGTATACGTGGTAGTGCGTGGGAGTGAGTGTGCATACCTAGTAAGCGCGAGAGAGACGAGAGTTGATATCGGAGCAATCGACGAGCGAGTGAGTGATATAGAGCTCCCCTTATGTCAAGCCACTCGGCGGCTGCTCGTCGGGGAGTAAGCAGTAGCATCAACAGCAGCAGCAGCAGTTGTTGTTCAACAACGACGACAACGACGAGGAGTCGAAGGAGGAGGAGCACCAACGACGAGGACGTCAGGAGAACGAGAAAGAGAAGGAGCCGCGCCGGCGCTACTTGCAGCAACAGCAGTAGTGACGAAAAAGCCTAGTCGCCGGCTTCAACATGAAGAAGCTCTTCTCCAAGATCGACAACACTGCTGCAAAGGAGACCAACAGCTACCTGGGCAAGGTCTTCGTCGTCGGCCGGCACACCGTCACCGTCGAAGAGGTCCTTGCCGAAGGTAGGCTCCAATCTACTTCACTCAACCTATCTCTCTTTCTCTTTTGTCCCTCTTCCCTTCTTATATTTTCAATAGGTCATGATCTTTCATGTACTTAAAGTGTCTTGTTTGTCATTACATGCCCATACAGCATATAAATCAAAAGAAAACAATGGCTGTGTGTATGTTCTCAGTCGTCTGCTCGCTCTATTTGTCTCCTCTCCTTCTCCTCCAACTTCTCCTGCTTTGACTTTCCCGTGATCTACTCTTTTGTACTTATAAAGTGTCTACACTGTCTACTTACCTCCTCTGCATGCAGGCATAGTATTTTATATTGCTTGCGCGAGTCGATAAGGATAAGGGTAGTCGTCGTCGTTGTGGGCGTATTTTCATTTTACTCGCTCGTTCTTTTATTTTTTCATCAGAAATACATACCAGGAACCAAAAGATAAAAACATCAAGGCGTTTCTACGCGCTCTCCTTTTGCTAAAACCACTTAGTCAAATTACTTTATACCCATGAGAGCGAAAATCGATCCCATGGACTTACTCATAGCATTATTTTTTCTTTTTCCTCTTTTTTTTTGAGCGAGCTTGAGTTCACTGTTATAACGGAAATATATTTCCAAGTATGCCTGCGTGAAAGATATAGGTGTCTATTGTTGCTCCTTTCATTTCTCTCCTCCAAGTTGTTTTCTATCCATCGGCGAGGCGATGCTTTTTTTGCATTACCTGATGCAATTATGCTGGAAATTCCAACTACATTTTGTTGTGAAATAGATTAGAATCGGCCTCTCGATCTTGATAGTTGCTTCACACACCAACAAGTAAATGCCCCTTATCAAAGATCGTCAGATGTAAATAAAAACATTGAAAGCTAAATTGAGAGATTCTTACCGACTTTCAAAATATTGCTTTTTAATATATTTCTGTTATTCTTTGATTAACAAAATTGTTTTGTATTTTATTATTCTTCAAAGTGTTATTAATAGCAATCAATAGCTCATAAAATGCATAATGATTTGCGTATGAAAGTTAATCGATTCATTTACCAAAAATTAAGTCATTTTTAAGAAATCAATTAACGACCAACGTTACGTATGCATCAAATGTAAGATCAAGCTAGTCATGAGGGGGTGGAGCTATTTAGTAGATAATGTGCGTGCTACTTAAAATCAAGCTTAACGTATTCAACCACAGCAATGACAGTAAGAAACGTCTGTTGTTGACTTTGATGGAAAATCATTCTATCCTTGACCACTGGTGCTATCTTACATCAAATATCTCTTTCAATAATCTCACGTAATCTTTTATCGTAACACTTATTCTTTTTAAAATTTTGTTTAGCCAATTTTATGAAATAATTAAAAAATTTTTGTAGGAGGATTTGCCATAGTCTTCCTAGTCAAATCTTCAGGTACTCGCTATGCACTCAAGCGCATGTACGTCAACAACGAACATGACCTTAATGTTTGTAAAAGAGAAATACAAATTGCGGTAAGCACTTTTTACGATTTAAATTCAAGCAGAACAAAAGTATTTTAACAACTGTTTTAAAAAATTTTAACTACTAAGCAGCAGTTTTATTGAAGTATTTTTCTCAATCGTACCTTGGACACTCTGATAATAGTTGATAACAGGGATACGAAACATCAATACATTGAAAAATATTTGATAATACATATTTCGTAAAAGTATATTTGTGATATTTACCAAACCTCCATTATTTTCTTTCTTGTAGTAATTAGTTTAATTATCGTTAAATGGCCGATGAATTTATTGTCACATTAATTAAGATTTAAAAATTTGAACAATTTTTAATTCCGTATATTTTGTTTTCAGAGTAACTTAAGTGGACACAAAAACATTATAGGATATGTAGACAGCAGTATTACACACACAGGAGGGGGAGTTCACGAACTCCTTCTCCTGATGCCTTATTGTAAAACCCAAGTTCTTCAAATTATGAACAACAGGTATGAATTACTTTTTGAGAAAAAATTTTTGCAGTGTTTTTTCTGAATGATGTTACGTAATTTTTCAAAAATATTGTCAATTTACAGGTTACAAACAGGATTTAGTGAACAAGAAGTGCTTCAAATATTTTGCGATACTTGTGAGGCTGTGTCTCGCCTGCATCATTGTCAAACTCCTATTATACATAGAGATTTAAAGGTATAAACATTATTGTGCATGGAGTAGTGAAATTTGATAAATGACCAAAAAAAGTATTTGAAATAATCGCTTGATAAACACCATGTACCTGTAGGTGGAAAATATTTTGTTAGCTGATTCCGGGAATTATGTATTATGTGATTTTGGCTCGGCAACGGGAAAAGTGCTTAATCCAAGCGTGCACGGAGCCTCCGTTGTTGAGGAGGAAATTAAAAAATATACGACGCTTAGTTATAGAGCACCAGAAATGGTCGATATGTACAGTGGAAAGTCTATAACAACAAAAGCGGATATATGGGTAAGTTATACAATTTCAACATTTATACCGTTGAGTGTACACGTGAAAAGTCAAATAATATGATACACGCTTTATTTTAACAGGCTCTCGGTTGTTTGCTCTACAAATTATGTTTTTTCACTTTGCCTTTTGGAGAAAGCCCTCTTGCTATTCAATCTGGAAACTTTACTATTCCAGATAATTCAAGGTATAACGTAACATACTTTAATCTCATTTGATGACAATGAATGGTCAAGTACTAATAAACGTTTCATCCATAGATACAGCAAATCGCTGCATTGCTTGATTCGTTACATGCTGGAACCCGATCCAGATCTGAGGCCTGACATTTATCAAGTGTCAGCAGTGGCATTTCAAATTTCAGGGAAAGAAAATCTCGTTCAAAACTTACACGTAAGTACTCTGTATACTTTTATTAATTTTTTATTTTTAAAAAGATAAAGGTATTATTTGTCAACAAAAATCCAATTGTATTTACAGAAAGTTACGACGCCAACGGTAGAGAACTTACCTTGCCCGCCTCTAGAGTCAGAGTCGATCAAACGCTCGTTGTCTATTAAAATACCAAAAAGTGCTCCAGTAACGACTGTCGAGGGTACATCCGTGACACCGAGACAGAGGCCCAAGGGCCAAAACGTGACCACCGGCCCTATAAGCTTGAGTGGCCAAATAGTCAGTCAAATATCCGGCCAGGGTAATCCGCAGCAGCAACAACAACAGCTGAGCCCTGCGGGCGGTGGCAACTCCATCTCCTACGTGCAGGTCAATCAACAAATCACACCCATCAACACTCCCCAAGCTTTCCTCCAGCCGCTCCCGAGTAACAGTAGCCAGTCGTCTTTCGCTCAAGTACCAGCGCCGCATATTCCCTCGCCCGGCCAGTCTACCCCCTTTGGACCACCGCCGTTTAGCCAGTCACAAAGCCCGATGTCCAGTCATTCGCCCCTAACTCAGCAATCGCCGGTCACAGTGCCAGACAAGAGCTCCTATTACTTTGATTCAAGGCCGCACGATGCCAGACCACCAGCTGCTCCAGGAAATGAAGAGAACCTGGAAGCCCTCTTTCCTCCTTCCGGTGAGTCTATTCGGTTATCCTTGACAAAATTATAACGCGTGAGTTGATGATTATGATGTATTTTCGGGTCTCGTTTCAGGTTACCCCGATCCGTTCAAAGACGACGGTCGCTCCCAGCCCTGTCCTACAGGACCCGCAAAAATTCCACCGCCAGTTGCACCGAAACCCAATGCCTCGAAAGTCGTGCAGAAGCTGATCACGCCTCCAGGTGGCACGGCTCCCCCGAACAAGTTCTTACCGACCGGACAGCAGCAACAATCAACTTCCGGATCCATGGCTGGACATAACGTCATGGCACCGCCGCCCGTCACGCTGCCCAAGCCTGTCAACAAAACGGAGAGCCTCAGCCAAAACATAAGCTCGAGCAGCTCGCCCCCCGAGAGCCCAACCGTGGGCTCTACTTCGCGGCATCGGCGGAACGTCAGTGATACTAGTGCGTTCAATAAGTGAGTTTTGCCACGATATTTATATTTTTGTCGAACCATTTCAGCAAATTACTTTTTACTTATTTTTTTTTTTTCTTTATTAATTCGAATTAAAATTGACCTTGGTTATTATGTGTTGCAAAACAAAAAGTGTTTCACCTGCTGATTGAAAAATACTTCCAGAGCAGTACGAGCATTATTAAGGCACTCAGCACTAGTTATTTGATTTTTATTTGCGTTCGGACAAGAAAATGCATTCGTAAAAAAAAAAATACTCATTTGCGTCATCTCGTACATTATTTATATGCTCGTATCTTTTTTAATTCGAATCAAAGAAAATTAATCATCATATTATATACCTGCATCACCAGATCGTATTTATAATTTTTCTTCATCTCTTCTGTACGACATTCGTGACGTCACGCTTTGACGACAGAAACGTCAATAATTTCAGAGTTTTTGCGAACGAGACCTCCCAGTTCCTAGCCCCTTACGAAGCGTCCGTAAAACCCCGCACCGAGGACACCTCGTCGCCGCCTGAAATACCCGTGGACATGAAACCCGGGATCGGTGCAAGCGCATCACATGTACGTATTGTAAGTAGATGAGCGCACCGTATTTTTTGTTTTTTCTTTCTTTAGTTTCTTGTTTATCCAGTTTGGATTTTGTTTGTTACTGTTCGAGAATCAATTGACCTTGGGAAACGAATTTCTTTCTTTCATTTGATATTAGAGCATAAATCAATTGGTATCATAATTTTTTTTTTTTCTACCGACAAATTTATGAATAAAAGTACATTTTTAAAAACGTTATACATCTTGAAACAAATCCTATATTTTCTTTACTTTCGAGTTTATCGTCCTTTTTATTGTTTTAATCTTAGTAACAAAAAATTTATTTCGAGTTATTCTTGTTTTTTGCACTGCACCTCTTCTTTACCATAATCAAAGTTGACCTTGAGTCTATACTTTTTTTACAAAAAAAAAACAGGCGCTACTACCGTTTAAGCAGTCGTAGTCACCGATGTGATTCAGAGAATTCAATTAACCCACTTTCAACTTTTCCACCAATAGATACACTCACACTCGACATCAAGTATAGCTTAAGGTCTTCATTGGCAAAACTTTTCTCGATCCGTCTCTTTATCTATTTTCTTCCGTGGCACTTTAATCCTATCGATTTCCGTTTTTGGTTGGAAAAAAAAAAAAAAAAAAAACAATTTAGGGTGAATTGTCGAGCATCTCTACGACGGAGAATCGATCGCTGAGCGTCGACGTGGCCGCCTGGAATCCATTCGAGGATGCCCAGCCGTTCAGTCAACTCACGGAGGACCATATTTTCGGTGCCGAGTTCGACAAGATCCGAAGGGGCAGTAACAGCAGCATCGCCGGCGTCAAGAGCCGCGAAAGCCTCGTCATGACCTATTCGGACTTGCCGAAGGATCCGTTTGAGTCGGCTCCATTCAGTCTGCCGAGTGAGTCTTTATCTTTTTATTTCTCTTCCTCGATTGATTTTTTAGTTTTTTCAAGCATTATACCTGTACAGTAAAACAAAATTAGAGTAAAATAGTTATGAAAATTTGTTATGAAGTAACGCTGTATTTTATTTCGGGTAATTTTGCATTTCAGCAGGCAAAAAGAGCAAAATAGGAGCAAAGACTGCAGCCATAGCTGGAGGTAATGCATGAGAAATTTTATTTTGCTATTCTTACTCAATATTTCACTCTTGTCTGTAAAAAAAAAAAAAAAAAAAAAAAAAAAACCGGCTAACTTTGGCGGCAATACGATTCTTTGTTGACGAGTCTCGAATTTTGTCGAGCGCAGCGTAATTTAAGTGATGAAAAGGATAAAAAAAAAAGGCTATTTTGTAAGAGATTTATTTTTTTGGGCAAACTTTCAGTCGTACAGCGCAAAGGTACAGTGAAAAATTATATATACCTTCATTCCTCGGTTTTATTGACTGAAGTAAAGTTGAAAAATATTGTGCTAATGATGTAGAGACGCTATCAAACCATTTTTTTCTTTCTTTTTTTTTTTTTTAATTGCTAAGTAAGTGATTGATGGTATCGCATGTCTTTCACCTTTGAGTAAAACTGTTTTGACGTTACAAGCGCGATGAATTGTGATTATTTTAAGATTCGTGCGAATGCGTTTCAAAAATTTATTATTTCAAAAATTCTAGTCTATAGATTGTTGATTATATGTGTATTACTACACCGTTTTACCATTTAATGGACCTACCATTAGTTTTTTAATACTTGGCTTCTTTTCCTACTACAATAAGCTGTAGGAATCATCGTTGCTTTTTTTCTTCTTTTTTTTTTTTTTAATACCAACATTATTATATAGATGTAAGTGTAATCAATTTCATAAGTTTAATTTTTTGTAAGTCGATGTTATGACTGTCAATCCAAAGTTAAATACGCACGTACTGTGGTTCTTAGTCAATAAGAATTTATGGTGAAAATACTTTCATCCAAAGTTTGAAAATGTAATTTTTTTTTAATTAATTTTTTTTTT